AAGCCCCTATCACGAGCCTTTTCCATCCTATGGAGAGGGAGCATGGACACGGGGGTCGTCCCTCAGTTACTAAAAACAACAGACATAGCCCCACTCCACAAAGGGGGCAGTAAAGCAACAGCAAAGAACTACACACCAATAGCACTAACATCCCATATCATAAAAATCTTTGAAAGGGTCCTAAGAAGCAAGTTCACCACCCATCTAGAAACCCATCAGTTACACAACCCAGGGCAACATGGGTTTAGAACAGGTCGCTCCTGTCTGTCTCAACTACTGGATCACTACGACAAGGTCCTAAATGCACTAGAAGACAAAAAGAATGCAGATGTAATATATACAGACTTTGCAAAAGCCTTCGACAAGTGTGACCATGGCGTAATAGCGCACAAAATGCGCACTAAAGGAATAACAGGAAAAGTCGGTCGATGGATCTATAATTTCCTCACTAACAGAACACAGAGAGTAGTCGTCAACAGAGTAAAGTCCGAGGCAGCTACGGTGAAAAGCTCTGTTCCACAAGGCACAGTACTAGCTCCCATCTTGTTCCTCATCCTCATATCCGACATAGACAAGGATGTCAGCCACAGCACCGTGTCTTCCTTTGCAGATGACACCCGAATCTGCATGACAATGTCTTCCATTGCAGACACTGCAAGGCTCCAGGCGGACATCAACCAAATCTTTCAGTGGGCTGCAGAAAACAATATGAAGTTCAACGATGAGAAATTTCAATTACTCAGATATGGTAAACATGAGGAAATTAAATCTTCATCTGAGTACAAAACAAATTCTGGCCACAAAATAGAGCGAAACACCAACGTCAAAGACCTGGGAGTGATTATGTCGGAGGATCTCACCTTCAAGGACCATAACATTGTATCAATCGCATCTGCTAGAAAAATGACAGGATGGATAATGAGAACCTTCAAAACTAGGGAGGCCAAGCCCATGATGACACTCTTCATGTCACTTGTTCTATCTAGGCTGGAATATTGCTGCACTCTAACAGCACCTTTCAAGGCAGGTGAAATTGCCGACCTAGAAAATGTACAGAGAACTTTCACGGCGCGCATAACGGAGATAAAACACCTCAATTACTGGAGCGCTTGAGGTTTCTAAACCTGTATTCCCTGGAACGCAGGAGGGAGAGATACATGATTATATACACCTGGAAAATCCTAGAGGGACTAGTACCGAACTTGCACACGAAAATCACTCACTACGAAAGCAAAAGACTTGGCAGACGATGCACCATCCCCCCAATGAAAAGCAGGGGTGTCACTAGCACGTTAAGAGACCATACAATAAGTGTCAGGGGCCCGAGACTGTTCAACTGCCTCCCAGCACACATAAGGGGGATTACCAACAGACCCCTGGCAGTCTTCAAGCTGGCACTGGACAAGCACCTAAAGTCAGTTCCTGATCAGCCGGGCTGTGGCTCGTACGTTGGTTTGCGTGCAGCCAGCAGCAACAGCCTGGTTGATCAGGCGCTGATCCACCAGGAAGCCTGGTCACAGACCGGGCCGCGGGGGCGTTGACCCCCGAAACTCTCTCCAGGTAAACTCCAGGTAAACATGTACAAGGTATACAAGTACATGTGCAAGGTATACAAGTACATGTACAAGGTATACAAGTACATGTACAACGTATACAAGTACATGTACAAGATATACAAGTACCTGGAGTTTACTTGGAGTTTACCTGCACAGAGTTCCGGGAGTCAACGCCCCCGCGACCCGGTCTGTGACCAGGCCTCCTGGTGGATCAGAGCCTGATCAACCAGGCTGTTACTGCTGGCTGCACACACACCAACGTACGAGCCACAGCCCGGCTGGTCAGTAACCGACTTTAGATGCTTGTCCAGTGCCAGCTTGAAGACTGCCAGGGATCTGTTGGTAATCCCCCTTATGTATGCTGGGAGGCAGTTGAACAGTCTCGGGCCCCTGACACTTATTGTATGGTCTCTTAACGTGCTAGTGACACCCCTGCTTTTCATTGGGGGGATGTTGCATTGTCTGCCAAGTCTTTTGCTTTCGTAGTGAGTGATTTTCGTGTGCAAGTTCGGTACTAGTCCCTCTAGGATTTTCAGGTGTATATAATCATGTATCTCTCCCGCCTGCGTTCCAGGGAATACAGGTTTAGGAACCTCAAGCGCTCCCAGTAATTGAGGTGTTTTATCTCAGTTATGCGCGCCGTGAAGGTTCTCTGTACATTTTCTAGGTCAGCAATTTCACCTGCCTTGAAAGGTGCTGTTAGTGTGCAGCAATATTCCAGCCTAAATAGAACGAGTGACCTGAAGAGTGTCATCATGGGCTTGGCCTCCCTAGTTTTGAAGGTTCTCATTATCCATCCTGTCATTTTTCTAGCAGATATACAAGGTATACAAGTACATGTACAAGGTATACAAGTACATGTACAAGGTATACAAGTACATGTACAAGGTATACAAGTACATGTACATGATATACAAGTACATGTACAAGGTATACAAGTACATGTACAAGGTATACAAGTACATGTACAAGGTATACAAGTACATGTACAAGGTATACAAGTACATGTACATGGTATACAAGTACATGTACAAGGTATACAAGTACATGTACATGGTATACAAGTACATGTACAAGGTATACAAATACATGTACAAGGTATACAAGTACATGTACAAGGTATACAAGTACATGTACTAGGTATACAAGTACATGTACAAGGTATGCAAGTACATGTACGAGGTATACAAGTACATGTACATGGTATACAAGTACTTGTACATGGTATACAAGTACATGTACATGGTATACAAGTACATGTACATGGTATACAGGTACATGTACATGGTATACACGTACATGTACATGGTATACAAGTACATGTACATGGTATACAAGTACATGTACATGGTATACAGGTACATGTACATGGTATACAAGTACATGTACATGGTATACAAGTACGTGTACAAGGTATACAAGTACATGTACAAGGTATACAAGTACATTTACATGGTATACAAGTACATGTACAAGGTATACAAGTACATGTACATGGTATACAAGTACATGTACATGGTATACAAGTACATGTACATGGTATACAAGTACATGTACATGGTATACAAGTACATGTACAAGGTATACAAGTACATGTACAAGGTATACAAGTACATGTACAAGGTATACAAGTACATGTACAAGGTATACAAGTACATGTACATGGTATACAAGTACATGTACAAGGTATACAAGTACATGTACATGTATACAAGTACATGTACAATGGTATACAAGTACATGTACAAGGTATGCAAGTACATGTACAAGGTATACAAGTACATGTACAAGGTATACAAGTACATGTACAAGGTATACAAGTACATGTACAAGGTATACAAGTACATGTACAAGGTATACAATTACATGCACAAGGTATACAAGTACATGTACAAGGTATACAAGTACATGTGCAAGGTGTACAAGTACATGTACATGGTATACAAGTATACCTGGTATACATGGTATACAAGTACATGTACATGGTATACAAGTACATGTACAAGGTATACAAGTACATGTACAAGGTATACAAGTACAATGTACATGGTATACAAGTACATGTACATGGTATAACAAATACATGTACAATGGTATACAAGTACATGTACAAGGTATACGAGTACATGTACAAGGTATGCAAGTACATGTACAAGGTATACAAGTACATGTACATGGTATACAAGTACATGTACAAGGTATACAAGTACATGTACAAGGTATACAAGTACATGTACATGGTATACAAGTACATGTACAAGGTATACAAGTACATGTACAAGGTATACAAGTACATGTACATGGTATACAAGTACATGTACAAGGTATACAAGTACATGTACATGATATACAGACCATTGCTGACATTAGTGACATAGTACTATATAGAAAGTACCTTGTTATGCTGAGCATTTCCCGCAAATTAGGTCAGTGTCTCCAGGTAAACTCCAGTGTCCCGGGGTACGACCCAGACCAGTCCACTAACACCCAAGTACCTATTTTACTGATGGGTGAACATAGACAACCGGTGTATAGAAACACTCCTGTTTCTACCCGCGCTGGGAATCGAACCCAGACCCTCACCGTGTGAAGCGAGAGCTTTAGCAACCAGGCCACGGAGCCGCAGAACATAATATAAGGACTTATTTCCCACTCTGGTGATAATTATGGCACGGTGGCTCATGTGTAGTGATGAAACTCGAGGATTCACTGGTGTTCCCACAAATTATTTAGAACTATGGCAGCACAGGCTAGCTGATGCAAGTAGCGGGTCCCAACAACCTGGAGACTAGTGCTGCTAGTTGTCTTAATCTCCAGACACACACATCATTGCGTAAAGAATGTGTCACCTTACCAGGCCCGTAGCCTGGCAAGGTGTCTCGTTGTCTAGTAGGCAACGCTCTTGCTTCACATGCTGAGTCCGTGGTTCGATCCCCGGTATCGGTGGAAACACTGGGCGTGTTTCCTTACACCTGTTGTCTTGTTCACCTAGCAGCAAGTAGGTACCTGGGTGTTAGTGGACTGGTGTGGGTGGCATCCTGGGGGACAGATTGAAGGACCACAATGGAAATAACACAGACAGTCCCTCGACAACCCACTGACTTTCTTGGGTTATCCTGGGTGGCTAACCCTCCGGGGTTAAAAATCTTATCTCTTATCTGTTTTACCTATCATGTCTCAGCATTTCTTCTTAACAGCCTACAACCTCCCTCTTTTAATAAATAGGCCTACTTCAACACTCGTACCTACTTTAACACTTAGGCCTATTTTAACACTTAGGCCTATTTTACCATGACAAATCATAAAAATAAGGGGTACCATACACCAGTATATAATTTCCATTTATGAATATAAATCTCACAATTTATATTGAATAGTCATTCCAGTTATCATCCCTAAGTTCACTTGAAAACTTTACATAAGCAAAATAAACTGAACAAACATTCAGAAGTGTGCTTGACTTTGATATTGGTCAGGAGCTCTTGATCCAAGGAACTGAACTGATCCTCCCCTTCTTTGGAACGAACCTGAGAACCACCCAGACCTCAAGCTCTGTACGACTCTTGTGTTTATTGATTCACCCTGATTAAAATAATTATAATAATCATGGCAGATCAAGGGTTCGATGGACTGTGGGTGGATCAGAGGTTCATTAGGCTCCAAGTAGGTGGAGGGTTCACTAGGCTCCAAGCAGATGAAGGGCTCACTAGGCTCCCAGTAGATCGAGGGTTCACTAGGCTCCAAGCAGATGAAGGGCTCACTAGGATCCGAGTAGCTCGAGGGTTCACTAGGCTCCAAGCAGATGAAGGGTTCACTAGGCTCCGAGTAGATGAAAGGTTCATTGGACTCCTGAGAGATCAAGGGTTCACTGAGCTGTGGATTGTTTAAGGCTTCAATGAGCTGTGGATTGTTTAAGGGTTCAATGAGCTGTGGATTGTTTAAGGGTTCAATGAGCTGTGGATTGTTTAACGGTTCAGTGAGCTGTGGATTGTTTAAGGGTTCACTGAGCTGTGGATTGTTTAAGGGTTCAATGAGCTGTGGATTGTTTAAGGGTTCAATGAGCTGTGAATTGTTTAAGGGTTCAATAAGCTGTGGATTGTTTAAGGGTTCACTGAGCTGTGGATTGTTTAAGGGTTCAATGAGCTATGGATTGTTTAAGGGTTCACTGAGCTGTGGATTGTTTAAGGGTTCAATGAGCTGTGGATTGTTTAAGAGTTCAATGAGCTGTGGATTGTTTAACGGTTCAAAGAGCTGTGGATTGTTTAAGGGTTCACTGAGCTGTGGATTGTTTAAGGGTTCAATGAGCTGTGGATTGTTTAAGAGTTCAATGAGCTGTGGATTGTTTAAGGGTTCAATGAGCTGTGGATTGTTTAAGGGTTCACTGAGCTGCAGATTGTTTAAGGGTTCACTGAGCTGTGGATTGTTTAAGGGTTCACTGAGCTGCAGATTGTTTAAGGGTTCACTGAGCTGTGGATTGTTTAAGGGTTCACTGAGCTGTGGTTTGTTTAAGGGTTCACTGAGCTGTGGATTGTTTAAGGGTTCACTGAGCTGTGGATTATTTAAGGGTTCAATGAGCTGTGGATTGTTTAAGGGTTCAATGAGCTGTGGATTGTTTAAGGGCTCAATGAGCTGTGGATTGTTTAAGGGTTCACTGAGCTGCAGATTGTTTAAGGGTTCATTGAGCTGTGGATTGTTTAAGGGTTCAATGAGCTGTGGATTGTTTAAGGGTTCACTGAGCTGCAGATTGTTTAAGGGTTCACTGAGCTGTGGATTGTTTAAGGGTTCAATGAGCTGTGGATTGTTTAAGGGTTCAGTGAGCTGTGGATTGTTTAAGGGTTCACTGGGCCATGGATCAATCAAGGGTTCTGGCAAGTGTGGATACGGTTACAAGACTCGGTCTTGGGGTTGGAACCAGCGAGCCAGAGTGGTCTGAAGGTGTCCAGGAGGCTGAAGGTGTCGTCAGGAGCCCCAACCATCCATGACACACCAGTGCTGTGGACACAAATTGATAAATTAGTGTCCAGAAGGGAAGAGAGAGAGAGTGAATTAATGAATTAACTCTCTGGACTCTTAGCTGGCTCCGACTGCATCCTGTTCTCTAATTATGTCAAAAAAAAAAAGATACAAAACATCCAGGCCAGGGGAAAACCTGGGTAGCCACAGCCACTCAAGAGGGAGAGGTTTTTTAGTGCCAGGAAGGAAAAAAAACTGGCAGGAAATGGCAGAAATCGTACACCAAATCCAGTCATTCCTGGAGTGGAACCACAGTCGATGGCCTCCACTCCAAACCAACAGATACAGATACTAATGCCGGAAAAAAAATCCCCCCCCAGTACCAACAATACCACCAGTCCGATAACATTCTTCTTTGCAAATATACAGGGTCTAAAGCCAGCTACAAACAACAAAATACCTTTCATCCGTGGACTGCTTGCAGAGGCAAAGGCAATGTTCGCGGCTTTCACTGAGACCCACATAAAGGATCACTTGGACAACGAAGTATGGATCCCAGGTTACAACCTATACAGATGTGACAGAGTGTACAGGCAAAAGGGGGGGTTGGCCTGTACATTGCAGAGTCACTTGTTTGCACAGAACTGCTTAATGCCTCAAATGACGTAGTGGAAGTTTTAGCAGTAAAGGTCGAGAACCAAAACCTAGTCATTGTGGTAGTCTACAAGCCTCCGGATGCAACATCCCAGCAATTCCAGGAACAGCTGTTAAAAATTGACCACTGTCTGGAAAATCTTCCAGCTCCTGCACCCAACATCTTGCTCCTGGGGGATTTCAACTTAAGGCACCTAAAATGGAGGAATATAGCAAATAATATTGTTGCAGAAATAACACCAGGAGGCAGCTCTGATGAAAACTCACACTCACACGAGCTTTTAAATCTCTGCACAAAATTCAATTTAAACCAGCAAATAATAGAGCCTACAAGACTGGAGAATACACTAGACCTCATCTTCACTAACAATGATGATCTGATAAGAAATGTCACCATATCAAAAACAATATACTCAGATCACAACATAATTGAGGTTCAGACATGTATGCATGGAGCCCCAGACCGACAAAATGAGACTAGTCATGAGGGAGCATTCACCAAATTCAACTTCAATAACAAAAACATAAAGTGGGACCAAGTAAACCAAGTCCTAACCGATATAAGCTGGGAAGATATACTAAGCAACACAGACCCAAACTTATGCCTAGAACAGATTAACTCGGTGGCACTCGATGTATGCACAAGGCTTATTCCTCTAAGAAAAAGGAGGAGTAGATGTAAAATAGAAAGAGACAGGCGCTCCCTTTACAGGCGACGGAAAAGAATAACAGAGCGGCTAAAAGAGGTCAATATATCTGAAATGCGCAGGGAGACACTGGTCAGAGAAATAGCAAGCATCGAACTTAAGCTAAAAGAATCCTTTAGGAGTCAGGAATCGCGGGAAGAACTAAAAGCCATAAATGAAATCGAAAGAAACCCAAAGTATTTCTTCTCCTATGCCAAATCAAAATCGAGAACAACGTCCAGTATTGGGCCCCTACTTAAACAAGATGGGTCCTACACAGATGACAGCAAGGAAATGAGTGAGCTACTCAAGTCCCAATATGACTCAGTTTTTAGCAAGCCGCTAACCAGACTGAGAGTCGAAGACCAAAATGAATTTTTTATGAGAGAGCCACAAAATTTGACTAACACAAGCCTATCCGATGTTATCCTGACGCCAAATGACTTCGAACAGGCGATAAATGACATGCCCATGCACTCTGCCCCAGGGCCAGACTCATGGAACTCTGTGTTCATCAAGAACTGCAAGAAGCCCCTATCACGAGCCTTTTCCATCCTATGGAGAGGGAGCATGGACACGGGGGTCGTCCCTCAGTTACTAAAAACAACAGACATAGCCCCACTCCACAAAAGGGGGCAGTAAAGCAACAGCAAAGAACTACAGACCAATAGCACTAACATCCCATATCATAAAAATCTTTGAAAGGGTCCTAAGAAGCAAGATCACCACCCATCTAGAAACCCATCAGTTACACAACCCAGGGCAACATGGGTTTAGAACAGGTCGCTCCTGTCTGTCTCAACTACTGGATCACTACGACAAGGTCCTAAATGCACTAGAAGACAAAAAGAATGCAGATGTAATATATACAGACTTTGCAAAAGCCTTCGACAAGTGTGACCATGGCGTAATAGCGCACAAAATGCGCGCTAAAGGAATAACAGGAAAAGTCGGTCGATGGATCTATAATTTCCTCACTAACAGAACACAGAGAGTAGTCGTCAACAGAGTAAAGTCCGAGGCAGCTACGGTGAAAAGCTCTGTCCCACAAGGCACAGTACTAGCTCCCATCTTGTTCCTCATCCTCATATCCGACATAGACAAGGATGTCAGCCACAGCACCGTGTCTTCCTTTGCAGATGACACCCGAATCTGCATGACAGTGTCTTCCATTGCAGACACTGCAAGGCTCCAGGCGGACATCAACCAAATCTTTCAGTGGGCTGCAGAAAACAATATGAAGTTCAACGATGAGAAATTTCAATTACTCAGATATGGTAAACATGAGGAAATTAAATCTTCATCAGAGTACAAAACAAATTCTGGCCACAAAATAAAGCGAAACACCAACGTCAAAGACCTAGGAGTGATTATGTCGGAGGATCTCACCTTCAAGGACCATAACATTGTATCAATCGCATCTGCTAGAAAAATGACAGGATGGATAATGAGAACCTTCAAAACTAGGGAGGCCAAGCCCATGATGACACTCTTCAGGTCACTTGTTCTATCTAGGCTGGAATATTGCTGCACTCTAACAGCACCTTTCAAGGCAGGTGAAATTGCCGACCTAGAAAATGTACAGAGAACTTTCACGGCGCGCATAACGGAGATAAAACACCTCAATTACTGGGAGCGCTTGAGGTTTCTAAACCTGTATTCCCTGGAACGCAGGAGGGAGAGATACATGATTATATACACCTGGAAAATCCTAGAGGGACTAGTACCAAACTTGCACACGAAAATCACTCACTACGAAAGCAAAAGACTTGGCAGACGATGCACCATCCCCCCAATGAAAAGCAGGGGTGTCACTAGCACGTTAAGAGACCATACAATAAGTGTCAGGGGCCCGAGACTGTTCAACTGCCTCCCAGCACACATAAGGGGGATTACCAACAGACCCCTGGCAGTCTTCAAGCTGGCACTGGACAAGCACCTAAAGACAGTTCCTGATCAGCCGGGCTGTGGCTCGTACGTTGGTTTGCGTGCAGCCAGCAGCAACAGCCTGGTTGATCAGGCGCTGATCCACCAGGAGGCCTGGTCACAGACCGGGCCGCGGGGGCGTTGACCCCCGAAACTCTCTCCAGGTAAACTCCAGGTAGAGAAGCTTTTCATATAGGCTGAGGTAGGTAACAGCTCTTAACTAACCTAACTAAAAAAGATAACGTGCACATATGTGTGTAAAAGTGAAAAATCCCTAGAATGTAAAAATTGTAAGTGTCAATATTTCAAAGTTACGAGAAAGAGGCATATTTTATCTTTTATGAGGCAGTAATTACCTTACGAGGGGGAAGAAGAATGCCGTGAGGCCGCCACGTGAGTCGCTGTAGGTGTTGAGATGACAGAGATGGCGCTGCAGGCAAGATGCTCCTGTAGGAGGCCAATGGCGCCCTCCGTATTTCAAAGTCAGATCCACCAGCGACGCTCCTAGACGAGCTAGTTCCTCCACGTCCTCCAGTAGGAATCCGTCGGTGTTGGGGTCTTCATCTTGAGTGCCTGGGAGACGGGAAGCACTGGAGGTGTGAGAAGCTGGGGTACGGAAACTATTGGAGGAAGGTGAGAGCCAGAGAGAACTGGGGGGTGCTTTTATTTGAGTGTTGGAGAACGTGGGTGAGAACCAAGATGTACTCGGGGATCGGGTTGTGAAATTGTTGGAGACAGTGGGTGAGATCCAAGAAATGTTGGAGACTGTTGGGAGGAATGTGCTGGAGGATATGGAAGTAGTTTCACTGGTGGAAGCCCAGGATGTGCTAGATTGCCTGGAATTGTTAAGGGATGCTCCTGGTTGAGATTCCTTGTCTACCATATATAGGGTTTTTCGCAAGAAGGTACTTTGCAGTGGGATGCTGTCCTGTTTCGTCTCTCCGAAGCCAAACAGATGTGACATGGAACCTCCAAGGGAAGTGTCAGAAAGGGTAACATCTGGTACAGCAAACTGAGCTTCTGTCCAGCGCTCTATGGATTCTTGCACATTTGAGAACAGCTCATAGGCGATCTGAAACTGCTCATTCTCCTTCAGCTTCGCCAGAATCTCCTCCGTTTTACCAAGTAAACCAAATGTCACTGAAGACTGCGCGAGAGAATTGAACATGAAAGAAATCCGGACGGTTATGAACGCAAGGAAGGCGATGATAGCAAGAACCGTGAGTATTTTCTCGTAGTAGTCCGTTGGTAGAATATTGCCGAAGAACATCTGAAGAAAGTTTACAGCCGATGAATAGGAGGACTTAAAATTGGTTTGCATAGGGTTCATGAGTGTCTGCAGCTTGTTGTTGACTGCATTAATGCTACTTGTTAACTTTCCGGCTATGTCTCCCTTGTTGAATTCCTCCTGTAGGTTTCCCAGACTGCCTATACCTTTCATGAATTGACCTCCGAGCCCACTTATCCCCCCTTTATTGAAGAGATTCTGTAAATTCCCAAGGTCTTTAATGCCACCAAAACTGCCTTTGTTGAAGATGTTAGCAAGGCTCCCTAACCCTCCTTTGCTGAATAAGCTCCCTTTACCACCTTTTCCTCCTTTGGCTCGTGTTCCTCCATAGCTGGAGTAGCTCATGCCCCCTGCTCCCCCTTTATTTAACACACTTCCCTTTGCACCCCCAGTAGCATAGCTGGAAGATCCTATGCTCTCACTTGTTCCCGTGTGGCTAGATGATCCTACGCTTCCTGCTCCACCTGTTCCTGCATAGCTAGATGATGCTATACCCCATCCTGCCCCACCCACTGCACCGTAACTAGATGATCCTATACCTCCTCCTGTCCCACCCACTGTTCCATAGCTAGATCTTATGCCCCCTCCTGCTCCACTCACTGCTCCATAGCTAGATGATCCTATACCCCCTCCTGCTCCACCCACTGCTGCGTAGCTAGAAGATCCTATGTCCCCTCCTGCCCCACCCACTGTTGCATAGCTTGAGGATCCTCTGTTCCCTTCTGCACCACCCACTGCTGCATAGCTTGAGGATCCTCTGTTCCCTCCTGCTCCACCCACTGTTGTGTAGCTTGAGGATCCTCTGTTTCCTCCTTCTCCACCCACTGCTGCATAGCTTGAGGATCCTTCTACTTCACCTATTGCTGCATAGCTTGAAGATCCTATGCCCACTCCTTCCCCACCTGTTCCTGCATAGCTCGAGGATCCCACACCTCTTCCTGGGGCGCCTGTGGATCCCAGTAGATTGAAACGTTCATCAGCAGGGTGAAGATCTACTGGTAGCATGATGCCATTCGACCCAGGAATCACCGACATCTCAATCACATGCTGACTGGGCCTTTTCTCTTGAGGAGGGCTGCTTGTAGGCGGCGGCAAGGGTTCAGAAGACTGGTTTTGATGGAAAAAACTTTGGGGAGGCTGGTTTTCTGGTGGTTGGCTTTGAATAGTCAGTGTCTGAGATGGATAGCCTTGCGTCGCTGTCTCTTGAGGTGGTCTAGTCTGTAAGGCTGTGTCAGAAGCCTCCTTGAGCCTGATTCTGATCATGGGGCCGTTTTTCAGTAAGACGTCAGTGTAGCCCTGGTTGTCAAGGTAGCCTTGAACGGAGCCACCAGACGGGGGGTCGGAGGTTGGCATGGGGATGAGTCTAATCACCATCTGCTTGTCCTCGGCTTCTTGGAGTACTGTTTGCCCAGTTGTAGGTTCTTCCCGTTCGCTGTGGTGTGTCAACACCCTTGGCGGCCGAGATAAGGCAGCATTAATTGAATTTGAAGTATCAAAGCTTTGTGTCAAAAAGGGAAAATTTTGACCTGGAAACCTTACATGCCCTCCTGTGTTGTGTGCAAAAGAATTTTGATTTCCATCATGACTGTGAATCATGAGGTCTGGCAGGGGTCCAAAGACTTGTGGGGTTGACCCGCTGCCTGTATTCTTAACCATAAAATGGACGGGAAACTCACCATTAATGTTCCCTGGAGGCAAATTTGATAAACTTATCGTATAGGGAAATTCCGTCTGGGGAGACATTTCACTACTTGAAATCTGGTGTGGCTGTAGGTTGTACTGTGTTTTTGAGTGAACTGGGGAGTGAGGTTGAGCCTTCCTCAACCCCGAGGGCACGGTGGGTGGCAGGGGACGAGAGTCCAGAGACACGCCAGGTAGTGTAGGATAAACGAAATTAGGGAACCCACGTAGCACGCTGACGGGGGCGCTACGCAGAGGAGGCCGAAAGAGCACCTGAGTTACGTTGTTTGACGGGACAGTGAGGGGCAAGACTGGCGGGGCAATGGTGAGAGAGGGCACTGTCTTTTGAGGAAACCGATCGTTCAGAGGGGGGAGTTGAATTCTTGGCGGGGGAACCAGAAAACTCTGAGGGGGATCTTGAATACTCAGAGGGGGATGTTGAATGGTCAGTGGGGGGACCTGAACACTCGAAGGGGGTACCTCAACGCTCAAAGCGGGTGGTACCTCAACACTCAGAGAGGGTTCCTGAAAGTTCAGCGTGGGACGCTGAACAAACAGAGGAGGAATCTGAGCATAAGAAGGAAGGTCTGGAACTCTCAAAGGAGGGACTTGAGTTGGTGTAGTTGGGAATTCTAATTTTCGTGGAGCGGAAGAAGAACTCGTCATGAGAGGCACAACAAACCGGGGGTCTGGTGGCAGTAAGTAATACTCCACCAGGTCACTCGCTGAGGTCTCCACTATCTCCAGTGGTAGTGTTTCCATGGCATTGATATGGTTGTTCCACAGGTCCTGTAGGGTACTAGAGCTGAGGTAGAAATAAGCATCTGCCGGAGGCATCAATATGCTGACATCCGTGGTGGGTCTGTCAACAAGTGCCTCTCGATAAAGAAGTCTGTTGCTTTCCCCGGGACTGTGTACTACCTGATCTGAGCTCCTGTTGACTCCACACTCCTCAGGAGAACAACTTTCTCTCTCCTGCATCTCCTCTTCGAGTTTGTTGGTGTTGTTGGCCATCACTTCTGGAGAACTGGAATTGCTCATATTTTTTTCTAGTGATTTACTAAATCCTGACACTGACTGATGTTCTGATTGATCGTTTGTTGTAGCTTCATAGGAATATTCTTGCCTTTCAGAATTTAAAGGGGGCTTTTCAATTACTTTATCAGTCATATTATCACCTAACAGGACAGAACTATCTGGTTCTTGGTTCTTGGCATTACTATTTCTCTTTCCTGTCACGATACGCACTGTAGAATGCTGTAAGCCGAATTCTGAGCTTTCTTGCATGGAGCTGTCAACTGCTTCTCTGTCAACGTCAATAGTGTCGTTGTTTACAGTTTCGATAACATTAAGAGAGCTGCCACGAGACGTCATCTCAGTGACCTGGTTATATACTTCACCGCTAGACATCATGGCATCTTCGTCCTCTTCCACATTTTCACTGTCCTGTTGTTCTAGGCTCACACTTACCCCATCTTGATCTTTTTCTGATACATTTAACTCATCATTGTGTTTCTGGGACACAGATACTCCAGCATATTGTTCCTGGGATACTGTTACCCTGTTCTCTTGTTCCTGAGATACAGTTAGGTTGCCCTGTTCTTCTTGGAGCACATTTACCTCTTTTTGTTCCATTACAAACCCGTGATGTTGGCTACTACTCACGTTCGCTAACATTCTCTCCACCAGATTGGATCTGGACGCATTCTCGGCGTGCACGAGGAGGCCGGTGTTGAGCCTCGCCAGGAAGGTGGTGGTGTTAGAGATGCTGGAGTTGTTTGTGCTGTCCTGTCTCTTCAGGCCTCCTGAGATCCCTATCCGAGGCGCCGTGCTCTTCAGGTCAGGACTCACCAAAGAGGCAGCAAGAGTGACAGTAACCCACACTAGCAGGAGGTTCCGCAGGGGTACTCTTCGAAGCGTTGATAACATCATCTGGTGCAGGTAATTTTTCCCTGTTATTTTAACGAAACTTTAAATCACGTCCTCTGACATAATTACCATCGCTATTTTACTACCCAGCAAGAAACAACAACTGTTTTAAGTTGTCCAAGACGATCAGTCGACTTCTGACATCTCCCACACTGCGTCAGCGTCGCCGTCAGCACGTCCTCGTCCTGGAAGGCTGTGAGGATGACTGTGATAATGTTAGGCGTCAGCTGTGTAAGACCCCTGACACCCCACCCTTCTCACCTTCACCCATGCCTCTAACATTACTACCTACGCCCTTTCACGTCTCCAACACCTGTACCTAGGCTTCCAACACCTCCCATATGATAGCGCCTTTTGTGATCACAATCAAAAGACTCGGGTACGATCTTGGGGTGGGTGGAGACGTTGGTCATGCCTTTGTACGTCTAATGCCTCTATCCATCTAGCAGTAATTGAGTACCTGTGGGTTAGCTGACTGCTATGGGTCGCATTCTGTGACGGGGAAGACCACCAAAGAAATTAAATATATATATATATATATATATATATATATATAATATATATATATATATATATATATATATATATATATATGTGTGTGTGTGTGTGTGTGTGTGTGTGCTCACCTAATTGTGGTTGCAGGGGTAGAGACTCAGCTCCTGGCCCCTGTGTGTGTGTGTGTGTGTGTGTGTGTGTGTGTGTGTGTGTGTGTGTGTGTGTGTGTGAGTGAGTGAGTGAGTGAGTGAGTGAGTGAGTGAGTGAGTGAGTGAGTGAGTGAGTGAGTGAGTGAGTGAGTGAGTGAGTGAGTGAGTGAGTGAGTGATAGGTGGTCATAATCACAACGGACTCGAACCAATGCAATCAAGTTCCTAAAATTCAGAAGCCAGTGTATACGTACGGTACTTGTCACCTCTCCCTCCTGCCTCCACTCTTGCTTGGCTTCCCGGGGCTTGCACAGTTACTCGGCAAGAAAGAAAAAAAGGGTGGGTGCGTGTGTGAGTGTTGATTACACATTAAACATGTCCGTCATGGTTATTCCCAGGCGGCAGTGTGGTTAGCCATGCGTCTGGCTGGGGAGTCAGTGCTGGGCTTCTCTAGCCTGATAAGTAAGTTTATTCAGGTATACACAAATACAGTTACATAGAATTATCATACAGGAATCGCGGGAAGAACTAAAAGCCATAAATGAAATCGAAAGAAACCCAAAGTATTTCTTCTCCTATGCCAAATCAAAATCGAGAACAACGTCCAGTATTGGGCCCCTACTTAAACAAGATGGGTCCTACACAGATGACAGCAAGGAAATGAGTGAGCTACTCAAGTCCCAATATGACTCAGTTTTTAGCAAGCCGCTAACCAGACTAAGAGTCGAAGATCAAAATGAATTTTTTATGAGCCACAAAATTTGATTAACACAAGCCTATCCGATGTTATCCTGACGCCAAATGACTTCGAACAGGCGATAAATGACATGCCCATGCACTCTGCCCCAGGGCCAGACTCATGGAACTCTGTGTTCATCAAGAACTGCAAGAAGCCCCTATCACGAGCCTTTTCCATCCTATGGAGAGGGAGCATGGACACGGGGGTCGTCCCTCAGTTACTAAAAACAACAGACATAGCCCCACTCCACAAAGGGGGCAGTAAAGCAATAGCAAAGAACTACAGACCAATAGCACTAACATCCCATATCATAAAAATCTTTGAAAGGGTCCTAAGAAGCAAGATCACCACCCATCTAGAAACCCATCAGTTACACAACCCAGGGCAACATGGGTTTAGAACAGGTCGCTCCTGTCTGTCTCAACTATTGGATCACTACGACAAGGTCCTAAATGCACTAGAAGACAAAAAGAATGCAGATGTAATATATACAGACTTTGCAAAAGCCTTCGACAAGTGTGATCATGGCGTAATAGCGCACAAAATGCGTGCTAAAGGAATAACAGGAAAAGTCGGTCGATGGATCTATAATTTCCTCACTAACAGAACACAGAGAGTAGTCGTCAACAGAGTAAAGTCCGAGGCAGCTACGGTGAAAAGCTCTGTTCCACAAGGCACAGTACTAGCTCCCATCTTGTTCCTCATCCTCATATCCGACATAGACAAGGATGTCAGCCACAGCACCGTGTCTTCCTTTGCAGATGACACCCGAATCTGCATGACAGTGTCTTCCATTGCAGACACTGCAAGGCTCCAGGCGGACATCAACCAAATCTTTCAGTGGCTGCGGAAAACAATATGAAGTTCAACGATGAGAAATTTCAATTACTCAGATATGGTAAACATGAGGAAATTAAATCTTCATCAGAGTACAAATCAATTATTATTATTATTATAATCAAGGGGGAAGCGCTAAACCCGGAGGATTATACAGCGCCTGGGGGGGGGGGATGTGGAAGGCATTCAGGCTTAATTCGGGGAACTGGAGCACAGATCCAATTCCCTAAATCAAGAGCCCCTCACCAACATCAAGGAACCTTCCCTGAGGGGAGTACAAATCAAATTCTGGCCACAAAATAGAGCGAAACACCAACGTCAAAGACCTGGGAGTGATTATGTCGGAGGATCTCACCTTCAAGGACCATAACATTGTATCAATCGCATCTGCTAGAAAAATGACAGGATGGATAATGAGAACCTTCAAAACTAGGGAGGCCAAGCCCATGATGACACTCTTCAGGTCACTTGTTCTATCTAGGCTGGAATATTGCTGCACTCTAACAGCACCTTTCAAGGCAGGTGAAATTGCCGACCTAGAAAATGTACAGAGAACTTTCACGGCGCGCATAACGGATTACTGGGAGCGCTTGAGGTTCCTAAATCTGTATTCCCTGGAACGCAGGCGGGAGAGATACATGATTATATACACCTGGAAAATCCTAGAGGGAATAGTACCGAACTTGCACACGAAAATCACTCACTACGAAAGCAAAAGACTTGGCAGACGATGCAACATCCCCGCAATGAAAAGCAGGGGTGTCACTAGCACGTTAAGAAACCATACAATAAGTGTCAGGGGCCCGAGACTGTTCAACTGCCTCCCAGCACACATAAGGGGGATTACCAACAGACCCCTGGCAGTCTTCAAGCTGGCACTGGACAAGCACCTAAAGTCGGTTCCTGACCAGCCGGGCTGTGGCTCATACGTTGGTTTGCGTGCAGCCAGCAGCAACAGCCTGGTTGATCAGGCTCTGATCCACCAGGAGGCCTGGTCACAGACCGGGCCGTGGGGGCGTTGACCCCCGGAACTCTCTCCAGGTAAATTCAAGGTAAACACTTTCTGGTCATTATAGCTTTCCTAGTGGTCACACCTGGTTATTATAGCTTCCCTTGGTAGTCGCACTTTCTAGTCGTTGTATTATAATAAAAACCAAGTGCTGAACTCACAGTCTAGTCATTGTAGCTTCCCCTGGTCATCGCACCTTCTGGTCATTGTAGCTTCCCCTGGTCATCGCACCTTCTGGTCATTGTAGCTTCCCCTGGTCATCGCACCTTCTGGTCATTGTAGCTTCCCCTGGTCGTCGCACCTTCTGGTCATTGTAGCTTCCCCTGGTCATCGCACCTTCTGGTCATTGTAGCTTCCCCTGGTCTCGCACCTTCTGGTCATTGTAGCTTCCCCTGGTCATCGCACCTTCTGGTCATTGTAGCTTCCCCTGGTCATCGCACCTTCTGGTCATTGTAGCTTCCCCTGGTCATCGCACCTTCTGGTCATTGTAGCTTCCCCTGGTCATCGCACCTTCTGGTCATTGTAGCTTCCCTGGTCATCGCACCTTCTGGTCATTGTAGCTTCCCCTGGTCGTCGCACCTTCTGGTCATTGTAGCTTCCCCTGGTCGTCGCACCTTCTGGTCATTGTAGCTTCCCCTGGTCGTCGCACCTTCTGGTCATTGTAGCTTCCCCTGGTCTCGCACCTTCTGGTCATTGTAGCTTCCCCTGGTCAGTCGCACCTTCTGGTCATTGTAGCTTCCCCTGGTCATCGCACCTTCTGGTCATTGTAGCTTCCCCTGGTCGTCGCACCTTCTGGTCATTGTAGCTTCCCCTGGTCGTCGCATCTTCTGGTCATTGTAGCTTCCCCTGGTCGTCGCACCTTCTGGTCATTGTAGCTTCCCCTGGTCGATCGCACCTTCTGGTCATTGTAGCTTCCCCTGGTCATCGCACCTCTGGTCATTGTAGCTTCCCCTGGTCGTCGCACTTCTGGTCATTGTAGCTTCCCCTGGTCGTCGCACCTTCTGGTCATTGTAGCTTCCCCTGGTCATTGTAGCTTCCCCTGGTCATTGTAGCTTCCCCTGGTCGTCGCACCTTCTGGTCATTGTAGCTTCCCCTGGTCATTGTAGCTTCCCCTGGTCGTCGCATCTTCGCCTGTCAGTCGTACCTTCATCTGGTCTTCATATTATCAACATTATATTCATACATCATCCCACCACCACAATTTGAATGAGAAATTTCAGTGTGGGAAGAATGTCTCATCTTTGAGGATGATTGCCTGATTATGCCTCAAGAATTCCCTGATTTTTGCGAGAATTTGAGGTAATTTTTTATGCAAGACATGTATTCATCTGAGAATGAACGGTATCCCTCTCACAGTTCGAGGTATCTCGTTGATTGTCAATGGAATCCCTTTGACTGTTAATAATGTCCTTCTTACAGTTTAAAGCATTTCACTGACTTAACAATATCCTTTTCACTATTTAAGGTTCTATTCTATTCTATTTGATTCGCCGGTATGGTATCCCGGCCCGGGTCTCTTCCATTTTGGTGACCCGGCAACTATTAAGGTCTTCTACTGCTGCCCACATTTATTATATATAACACCTGGCAGTAATAGCAGGCATGCAGGTTCAGTCCAAGGAAGGGGAGGGCAGGTCCAAATCTTTAGATCAAAAGCCTGTAACCAGCATCAAGGAACTTCCTTTGAGGGCACCACAGCCCATATCTACATTTACACATCTACAAAACACAAATGAAGCCCAAATTTAACAAATGAAGGGTGATAACGGTGTACTGGGGAGGGGAGGGTGTGGCTCTAGCAATGTTAGTTTAAGTTAGTTTAATATCTTTATTATGCACCCCATACCCATCCTGTGGGCGGTAGTAGCGCTGTATAGTCCTTGTGGCTTAGCGCTTCTTTTTGATTATAATAATAATAATGTGGGCGGTAGTCAAAAGATTACAAAGGTACATAATGGGTCCAGGGACTGGACCCCAAAGTTATGATAGCTGAACTAGTTACAAAGGTAATGAACTGGTAGATCTGGTCACAATCATGACTCTAGCAATGGTTGAAACAAATACCAGTCACATAATAGAGTGGAACACCAAGGTGAAAGACCTGGGAGTGATAATTTCAAGAGGATCTCACTATCAAAGATCACAACAATGTATTTAATACATCTGCTTGGAAAATAATAGTATGGATAATGAGAACATTCAAAACTAGGGATGCCAAGCCATTGATGATTCTTTTCAAATTACTTGTTCTCTCTAAGCTGGAATATTGCTATACACTAACAACCTCTTTCAAGGCAGGTGAAATCACAGAGAACCTTTACTGCATGTATAAGTACTATAAAGCACTTAAATTACTGGGAACAGCTGAAGGCCCTCCACCTGTACTCCTTGGAATGCAGGCAAGAAAGATACATTATAATATACACTTGGAAAATGCCAGGAATAGTCCCATATCTACACACCGAAATCACTCCCTACGAAAGCAGAAGACTTGGCAAGTGGTGCAACATCCCTTTAGTGAAGAGCAGGGGCACCATGAGTATGCTAAGAGACAACACAATAAGTGTCAGGGGCCCAAGACTGTTCAACAACCTCCCAGCACACACAAGGAGATTACTAATAGACCCCTGGCTGTCTTCAAGGTGCTAGACAGGCACCTCAAGTGAGTACCTGACCAGCTGGGCTGTGGTTTGTACATCAGTTTGCATGTGGCCAGCAGTAACAGCCTGGCTGATCAGACCCTGATCCACCACGAGGCCTAGTCTCAGACCAGGCCACAAGGGCATTGACCCCCGAAACCCTCTGCAGGTGTACTCCAGGTAATACCCTATGGTTGTTGTCCTTTTATGGTGATGCACATTATTATTATTATAATCAAGGGGGAAGCGCTAAACCCGGAGGATTATACAGCACCTGGGCGGGGGGGATGTGAAAGGTATTCAGGCTTAATATGGGGAAGTGGAGCACAGATCCAATTCCCTAAATCAAGAGCCCCTCACCAACATCAAGGAACCTTCCTTGAGGGGTGGTGATGCACAACACCAGTTGTGACCCTTTCAGGAAAGTCCGGGCCTCATACTACCATGATCTTTATTTCTTTTATTGTCATTTTAAAGATTCTTTGCATTTTTTCTGATACTATGTTGTCACTTGTAGTGGGTTGTTTTCTATGTAAACATTGTTATGGTGGTACTCGAGGCATATACAGTCATTATTTTTCATGTTGTGTTGTGTGGCTCTGACTTGCTGTTTTTTTACTGTTTCATTATTAAAATGTTTTCATTTATTAAATTCTCAATTTTCTGACACAGTATTTTGCAACTCAGCATCCAAAAGTTAGTCAATTTTCTTTTTATAATTAATCTGGCATGACAGTCACTGATTTTTGCCTACTGCACCAGACACTCAACAGAATATGATATCCATTACACAAATAACCTGCACATAGGAGAAAGAAACTTAAGACATTTCAGTCCAACTTGTATCATCAGCTAGTCACACAGAAGCACTTGTGTGAGACTAGTTATTGGTCCAGGTTGACCAAAATATCTTATGTGTCTTTCTCTTACATGTGGGTTATTTGTGTATTGTTTCAGTTGCAGTATTGTGCCTTTTTATTCTTTAGGAAGAACTTCGCTAATTGTGTGCTCAGTGGAGGGTATACTACCATGTTTATTGCAAATTAAAATCTGCCTAGGCCACTTATAGTTTTGCAGTTATATATAAAAATATATACTTTTGATATACCTTTGACGAGTTTCAAGTCTTACTACTCTCGGAACCCAGCCATGGCCCATTCTCATCTGGTGCTTCCCTGGTCAACCAGGCTGTTGCTGCTGGAAGCCTGCTGCCCAACATATCCATCACAGCCTGGTTGACCTGGTTGATCTTTTTTTTTTCTTATGGATCCCATCTATGTCATGTCTGTTAGGCACCATCAGCTTTGTATATTTTTTCTTTTAATCAGGAGGGGAAAGCACTCAACCCACAGGGGTCATATAGCACCTGCAGAATGGAGAACAATCAGGTTTTATCCAAAGAAAGGGAGAATATGTCTTAGTTCTTCAGATCAAGAGACTGTCACTAGTATCAAGGGGTCAATTTTATACAGTATGTAATTTGCAAATGTTACACAAAATTTTCATTTCAGATCCTTCTCCAATGTGTTTATTGTAAAAAAAAAAAAAGAAAGAAACAATACTGTGACTGGAACAACACACAAATAACCCACACATAGGGAAGAAGAGCTTACAACGATGTTTCAATCCGACTTGGACCCTTTACAAAGTTACACTTTGTAAATAGTGTTGATTGTGGTGGGCTCACTGTAAGCTGCTAGGGTAAATGACACAAAATCATAATAACACAATTGCAAAGAAATCATGAAATGGATGGAGTTTGAACCCATGGCAAGCAAATCCTAAAAGTGAGTTTTAAGACTCACTTGCCATGGGATCAAATCCCACCTATTCCATGATTTACTGGGATACAACCTGTATTATTATTATAATCATGGGGGAGAGCTAAACCCATAGGATTATACAGTGCATGTGGGGGGATGGAAGGTATTCAGGCTCAATTCAAGGAACCAGAGCATAGATTCAATTCCCTAGATCAAGAGCTCCTCACCAGCATCAAGGAACCTCCCTTGTGGGGATACAACTTGTAATAAATACATCCTCAACACTAACAAGCTTTCTTTCAATGCTACTCTTAGCCACAATTTTTTTTTTTAGTATATAAGTGAATGTGTGATATTCTGCTGCAATATGTGAGGCATTATAACATTTGTCACACTGTAGTTCTTAGTCTAAATAAAGTTAATGTACAGTACCTTGATACTTATTACAGTATTTCCCATTGTATTTCTCTTTTTAATCACATTATTGCTACTCAGATGACCTTCTGTTTTCATTTAATTCTTGAAATCATTGATTACAGAGTACGTGCAACGCCGATGCACAAACTCGTGTTTCAACAAAAACAAAGACTAATTTGTTTCAACTCTACTTGCAGTGCACTGCAAAATTCATGTTTATAAAACATCTTCTAAGCAATGAAAATTTTTAGGCTGTTAATACTGACATAAATAGATGAATTCTCCATGGGGAAGTGGAACAGAATTCTTCCTCCGTAAGCCATGTGTGTCGTAAGAGGCGATTAAAATGCTGGGAGCAAGGGGCTAGTAACCCCTTCTCCTGTATATATTACTAAATTTAAAAGGAGAAACTTTTGTTTTTTTCTTTTGGGTCACCCCACCTCAGTGGGATATGGCTGGTGCATTGAAAGAAAGAAGACATAAGCAAAACTTACATTTGATTTATTGCAAATCACAAATAATATGATGTCATGGGTAAATAAAAAATAAATGTTGGATCGAATGCTCTTCACCAAGGACCACAATATTAATCTCCTCAGATTATAACAGTACTATACAAAAAAACATATATTTAGTGATTAATAAAACATAAGTGTATGAATTGTTTGGCAAGTTTCAATATACGTACTACTGTATAAATAACCTGTACACAAGAGAATGAAACATTTGGAGACATTTTGGTCCAACTTGATACAAGTCAGATTGAAACATTATCGTAAGTTTCATTCTGCTATGTACGGGTTATTTATATATATTGTTCCAGTCACAGTCTATACCCTTATATTCTTTAAGATTCAAGCTGTGTAAACTACGGAACCTATTAAAGAAATTTTAAAGCATGGAAGCCACGACAATGTGTTGAGCAATTTGAAATCACCTGTCCAAAACAACTTAAATGAAGATTTATATAAATCATCCATCTGTCAATTGGACACAAGTGCTGAAATGATCTGCTACCATTTCTTGAGGAAACACTGCCAGTGCTACTATAACCGAGTACAGGAGCCATCACTTCTGAGAACAACCTGGCCTCTGGCTACCATCTCCATTGCTCTGCAACACAAAAAACAATAAATACTGTCAGTGTTTTTTCCTGGGAATACCTCTACCTAAGCTCCATGGGGAAGTGGAGCAGAATTCTTCCTCCGTAAGCCATGCATGTCATAAGAGGCACTTAAAATGCCAGGAGCAAGGGGCTAGTAACTCCTTCTCCTGTACACATTACTAAATTTAAAAAGAGAAACTTTTCTTTTTCTTTTTAGTCACCCTGCCTCGGTGATATAGGGCTGGTTTGATAAAAAGAAAAAAAAAAACCTACCTAAGCATGGACTTACAACTATGCCCCACCTGTTACTTGCTGAACCATTAAGGAAACAGAAAATGATAATTATAAAGCAAATATAAATGATTATTATTGTATTACAAGTCACTCCAACATAAGCATCAGCATAACTAACCTTGGAAAAGCTTTGTGTTCGGCTGTTTTGATGCGTTCCACTAAAATGTCTTCTGTGTCTCCAGGCAAGATGGGCACTGCCTCCTGGGTCACAATAGCCCCTCCATCAACCTCTTCCTGAATGGACAGCAGTAGTAGTAGTAAATAAGGATGAAAATTATTATCATGGAAAGTATGGGTGTGTTTATCTCAAATATTGTTTAAAGTTTAAGTTTATCAAGGATATGCTGTATGACCCTAGTGGGTTTAGAGCTTGGTTTTGATAATAATAATAATTATCAAGGATGTAGAAATTAGTCTCTAGAAAGTTACAGGGTTAACAAATATTATTTTCTGAGAATTACCATATGTGAATAAAATTAAAAGAAAACTTTGAAAATTTTTGACTAAGTTATGGAATACTGAATCAGTTGCATAGTTTACTAAAACATGAACAAAAAAATAAATAAGCTGCTACAGTGTAAACAAAATTATTTCAAATATTTAAAAGCCTTTCTTATTTTAGCAATAATGCTGTATTTTCTAAGAACCAGGAGTCACAATACAATGATCCCTCTAAGAATCAACACTGAACAAAAGCTGTATTATATTCCTCTCATCAAAGACTGCAGCAACATTTGATAATTTACTTAAAAAGTCTTGTCCCTAATTTAACTTCCAGTTAGGTGAAACAGCACTGCTAGTTTGTAATTTTAAAACTACCAGTATATCATGACAGCATTAATTTTTTTAGTTTCCCTACCATGGTGGGAAATAGTCAGTGTAACAAAAATTAGTCATCTAGACACAATTCAAGAAATAATGCTTTCCCCCAAGAGATGCTCACAGCAACAAAGTGCACAGTGCAGCCAGTCAGTGTCACTCCAGCTTCTAGTGCTTGTCTCTGTGCATGCATTCCCTTAAATGATGGCAGGAGAGATGGGTGGATGTTGAGAAGCCGTCCCTGCCATGTCCTTACAAAATCGCCAGTCAGAATTCTCATAAATCCTGCCAGACAGATAAGTTCTGTGTCTACCTCCCTCAATGCCATTGTCAGAGCTGCATCAAATTCCTGCCGATTCTTGTAGTTTTTGTGAGGGATTACCTGGAAAAACTAGCCATGGTAAAAACCAAAGTCATAACTGGACAAGTCATTTAATTTTCTTAATGTAGTAAATAAAGTTATTTGCAAATCAGCAAGTAATTTGGAACTAATTTCAAGGCAATAAAATATTAGCTGGATTTGAGGCCTGTAGGTGGGAAGTACAGTGCCTGCACTTTATAGAAGGGGTTTGGGATACTGGCTGTTTGGAGTGACATCTAAACTGTCATATCTGGGTACCTCTGCACAGACAGTGTGACTAATGGTGATTTTTTTTTTTTTTTTTTTTTTGGGGGGGGTCACCTGCCTCGATGGGAGATGGCTGATGTGTTGAAAAAAGAAAAACATTAAATGGTACATCTCACTGAATGAAGTGGGGTTTGAACCCATGGCAAGCCAAAGCTAAAACTAGCAGGCCAGTGTGTTATTCACTATACTATGATTATCTAATAAACATACACAAATAACCCGCGGGTTATTTGTGCATCGTTCCAGTCACGGTATTGTGCCTTTTTTTTGTTACCTAATAAATATGTCTGTTTAAACTAGACACACTACCTTGAACAACAAAACCAAATAAAAATAATATTTAAAGATCTTTCTTTAATAATACCAGTGAAACATTAGTACACATCCTATTTAAAATAATCTGAGCAAATTAATCTAATGAAGATATGAGAAAGTATAATGACAAGATGGATATACAGTGGACCCTCGCCTAACGAACACATCGCATAATGTTAAATCCGCCTAACGAAGCATTTGAGCGTTAAAATTTTCCCCGCCTAACGATAAAAAACTAGCCTAACGTGATTCTTCCAGGACCTGTTCACGTGTGGCCAATGTTTACAAGCCAGCCAGTGCGGCCGCATCTACGCATACATTCAGTACATTTCATCTTATTCCAGTGTTTTTAGTGCTTGTAACTGCAAAATAAGTCACCATGGGCCCCAAGAAAGCTTCTAGTGCCAACCCTGTGGTAAAAAGGGTGAGAATTAGTATGGAAATTAAGAAAGATTTTGAAGGGTTTGGGGCTAACCCTGAGAAGCCTATGCCAGTTGTGGAATCCATTGTGCCTACTTCAAAGATTAAGGAAATGTGTGCATAGTGGGTTGAAGTGCAAACCTTTATGGATGAAAATCACCCTAACACAGCTATTGCAAGCCATGTATGGTGACTATTACAATGACAATGTTGCGGCCCATTTTAGGAAAATCTTAAAGGAATGCGAGGTACAGAGCTCTATGGAAAGATTTGTTGTGCAACAGAGGTCCAGTGACTCTCAAGCTGGTTCTAGTGACATTAAAAGAAGAAGGGAAGTAACCCTGGAAAAGGACTTGCTACCTCAAGTCCTCATGGAAGGGGATACCCCTTCCAAACAATAACAACTTCCACCATCTTCCCTCCTCCCATCCCATCAATCATCACCAGATCTTCAATAAAGATAAGTGTCATGTATTCTTTATTTAGCAGAGTAGTAATTGTGCATGTCTTCTTCTTTATGGGTGTATAAAAATCTATATTTCATGTGGTAAAAAGTTTATTTTCATACTTTGGGGTGTCAGGAACGGATTAATTTGATTTCCATTATCTCTTATGGGCAAAATTAATTCGGCTAACGATAATTTCGGCTAACGTTGAGCTCTCAGGAACGGATCAATATCATTAGGCGAGGGTCCATTGTATATAAAAATGTACAAATGAAACAATTTACAGATGTGATGATGGTATTTCTTTTCTCATATCTCAGTATGGTCACCCCCCCCCCCTCTGCATTTACAAGTAAACTTTCATACGATTCTGACAATATTACAACAAGAGAAGACTGCTTCATCTTTTTTTTTATCAGAAATGTTAGTAAACCTGACAAGCTGTTGGAGTGTGAGCAGGGTAATATTTAATGAAGGGATTTAAGGAAACTAGCTAGCTGGACTTGAGTCCTGGAAATGGGAAGTACAATGCCTGCATTTTAAAGGAGGGGTTTAGGATATTGACAGTTTGGAGGGACTTCTAAACTGTCGTATCTGAGCGCCTCTACAAAGACAGTGATTATGTGTGAGTGAAGTGACGGTGTTGAATGATGATGAAAGTATTTTCTTTTTGGGGATTTTCTTTCTTTTTGGGTCACCCTGCTTTGGTGGGAAATGGCCGACTTGTTGAAAAAAAAAAATGAGTAAATCTCACATTTTCAAGTTAACTCTTTCAGGGTTGGTGCCATACTAGTACGCATAAATTCTAGCGCCTTCAAATCTAGCAAGAGAAAGCTGGTAGGCCTACATATGAAAGACTAGGTCAATGTGGTCAGTGTGCACAGTATAAAAAAAAATACTGCAGCACACAGTGCATAATGAGAAAAAAAACTCCAACTGTGTTTTTGCTTTAAAACAGCGAATTTACAGTGTAGTATTTTCATATGCTATTTATGATTGTATCCTAGTTTTCCTGGTCTCATTTTATAGAATAGAAGACATATTACAGAAATTGAGATGATTTTGATTGGTTTCAGAATGAAAAGTACAGTGGTCCCTCGTTTTTCGTAATTAATCCGTTCCCGGAAGTGTGACTATTATCAAAATTTATGATTTTCGAATCAATTTTCCCCATAAGAAATAATGTAAATACAATTAATCCATTCCTGACACCCAGACGTATTAAAACAAAAAAAATTTTTTGCATGAAATATAGATGTAGTACATAAACAATACAATGGGACATGATGAATGAAACATTAACAGCATAACACTTACCTTTATTGGCGATTCTTCTTAGTGTATGGAAGACTGGAGGAGGAGAGAGATTGGATTAGTTACTGTTTGGAAGGGGAATCCCCTTCTATCATCACCTCAGGTACCATGTCCTTTTCTGGGGTTACTTCTCTTCTCTGTTTCTTAATGCCACTAGGACCAGCTTGAGAGTCACTGGAGTCCTGTCTCGCAAAAAAACTGTCCAGAGAGCTCTGTTTCTGGCGTCTCTTTAACACTTCCCTAAAATGGGCCAAGACTTTGTCACTGTACATGTTGCCAACATGGCTTGCAACAGCCTTGTCAGGGTGATGTTTCTCCATAAATCTTTCCATCTTACCCCACATTTCAAAAATCTCCTTAATTTCTGAAGAAGGCAACTTCTTCCATCTCTCTTCCTCCTCCTCTGAAGCAAGATGCTGAGCTGTGATCTGTTGCTCTTCCTGCTGAAGCTCTTGCAGCTCCTCAGTGGTGAGCTCTTCATTGTGGTCCTCCACCAACTCTTCCACATCCTCCAAACTCACATCCAACCCCATGGAACTCCCCAATGCCACAATAGAGTTCACAACTGACATAGGCTCATCAGGATTCAGCCACAAACCCTTCAAAATCCCTCTTGTGGATGTTCAAGGTCCTGGTAGTCACTCCCTCCCAAGGCTTATGCAATGGAGGATACTGAAGTGTTCTTTCCAAAAATCTCTTAGGGTCAAGTGAGTGTCTGATGTCACATTAAAGCACCTTTGAAACATTGCTTTGGTGTAGAGTTTTTTAAAGTTTGAAATGACCTGGTCCATGAGCTGGAGGAGAGGAGTGGTATTCGGGGGCAAGAACTTTACCGTGATGAACCCAAACTCCTTCAAAATTAGGTCATCCAAGTTTGGAGGATGAGCAGGTGCATTGTCCATTACTAGGAGGCACTTGAGATCCAATTTCTTTTCCAGGAGGTAATTCTTCACACTAGGGCCAAACACTTCATTGAACCACTCGACGAAAATTTCCCTCGTGACCCATGCCTTACTATTAATTTCCAAAACACACACGATTTACTCTTCATAACACTGTATTTCCTGAACACTCTGGGATTTTCAGAATGGTACACTAGTAACGGCTTCACTTTGAAATCCCCACTAGCATTAGCACAGAACATGAGTGTCAGCCTGTCTTTCATAGGCTTGTGTCCTAGCAGTCCCTCTTCCTCCTGAGTAATGTAGGTCCTCTTTGGCATTTTCTTCCAAAAGAGGTCTGTTTCGTCACAACTGAACACTTGTTCAGGTTTCAGTCCTTCAGCCTCTATGTACTCCTTGAATTCACTTACGAATTTTGTAGCTGCAATTTTGTCTGAACTGGCAGCCTCACCATGCCTTACCACACTGTGTATGCCACTACGGTTCTTAAATCTCTCAAACCAACCTTTGCTGGCCTTAAATTCACAAATATCAGTACTCGTTGCAGGCAATTTCTTTACCAGATCGTCGTGCAACTGCCTAGCCTTTTCACAAATAATCGACATCATAAGATTATCTCCTGCTAATTGTTTCTCGTTTATCCACACCAATAATAACTTCTCAACATCTTCGCGTACTGGTGATCTCATTTTTGTCAGCATATTTACCCCCTTTGCAACAACAGCTTCCTTGATTTCGTTTTTCTTGGCCACGATGGAAGCTATGGTTGTATGGGGTTTGTTATACATCCTGGCCAGTTCGGCCACACGTACGCCACTTTCATATTGTTCAATGATGTTTTACTTAAATTCAATCGTATTTCTCACCTTCTTTACCAAAGGCTTGGTACTAGGAGCTTTCTTTGGAGCCATGATAGCTTATTTAGTAGTTGCAAGCACTAAAATGAATGGAATATTATGAATTATTTCGTATGAACAAGTGAGGGGACCGTCGCTCACTGGTAAACAATGGCACACTGGCTGGGAACGGCTCAGAGCCGTGAGTACGCGTCCCAGACAAACGACTATTCGCGAGTCAAACTACGATTAGCGAGCCAATGTTTTGACGAAAATAATGTTATGATTTTCGAAAATTACGACTATCGAGCCGTATGATTATCGAGGGACCACTGTACTTTGAAATTGAGCTCAAAGTAGCAGAAATGTTCGATTTTTGCCAAAGTTCAAAAGTAAATAAATCATGCTACGCATCCAATACACGTCAACTGGTGAGTTTAATATTCTTTCACAAGTGCGCTGATCCTAGGTAGTAGGTTGGTAGACAGCAACCACCCAGGGAGGTACTACCGTCCTGCCAAGTGAGTGTAAAACAAAAGCCTGTAATTGTTTTACATGATGGTAGGATTGCTGGTGTCCCTTTTTCTGTCTCATAAACATGCAAGATTTCAGGTACGTCTTGCTACTTCTACTTACACTTAGGTCACACTACACATACATGTACAAGCATATATATACACACCCCTCTGGGTTTTCTTCTATTTTCTTACTAGTTCTTGTTCTTGTTTATTTCCTCTTATCTCCATGGGGAAGTGGAACAGAATTCTTCCTCCGTAAGTCATGCATGTTGTAAGAGGGGACTAAAATACCGGGAGCAAGGGGCTAGTAACCCCTTCTCCTGTATATGTTACTAAATGTGAAAGGAGGAACTTTTGTTTTTCTTTTTGGGCCACCCCGCCTCGGTGGGATACGGCCGGTGTGTTGAAAGAAAGAAGTGCGATGATATTATTTATATCATTTCTACACTAATGCAGTAGTCTGCATAACAGTAAATCTTCTATTTTTTGTGAGAATAAAAATTCAAAGTGGAAAGCAAAAGAAATGTAAGAGAGGCCTGGGGATGTGACTAACGAACAGAAGAAATGTTATTTTAGTGCCAGGAAGGTCTGTCTTGTTTATTCTAGGCCCTATTTGGAAATTGCCATCTTTTGAAATTTGTGTGAAATTGGCATAATTGCCAATTTCTGACCACTTTATTGGGTAGTTGAAATCGGTAAATAGGTGGTTTCTTGTGCTCATTCAATAGAAAAAATAAAGTTCTAGAGAAATTGTTATGATTTTTGTCGACTGGTACATTGAATTGGGCGAAAATAGGGCTCAAAGTGGGCGAAATCGCTGATGTGTCAACATTGTCGAGACTGCTAACTTCACAAGAGCATAATTCCGTAAGTTTTGCATCAAATTTCATACTTTTGGTGCCATTATGATCGGGAAAAGATTCTCTATCATTTCATAAGAAAAAATAATTTTTTTTTTCCGAAAAATTTCTGACCTGAGAACAAGTTTAGGAGAGGGCCTGCTGACCCTGAAAGGGTTAATTCACTTTTTTATCATCAGTATGCCTCACCTTGGTTGCTACCCCAGCATCCTTGGCACGTTGGAGTCCTTGAACATCAAGAACATTGCTGATTACTAGAACAATTTTGGCAGCACTCAATCCTGACTTAGTGTGGTCTAGTAATGCCTGTAATTAAAACACCTTTTGTTAAATATAAATACTATACACCATATATATTACTTCAGCACAATCAGATGCCATATATAGCTCAACCCTTGACATTTAGCCAAAAAAATTATTAATTTTTCATGTATCTCAAGTAGAAGCCTACAAAGGTTTTTGATATGGAAAATATTGCAGTCAGAAGTTTTAAAAAAAACTATAGTCTTTGTGAGGGAAAAGTTCAATAGATAGGAGTAGCGAGGGAGTATATATTAACAATAGTTTCATTGCCGGCTACTTGTTAAGGTAGGGTAAGTCAAGCTCCCGCTATTCCCGCCTTTTTCTCCCCCTCCCCGAAAGTGATAGTTTGACTGCCGGCTGCTTGTTAAGGTAGGGTCAGTCTAGCTCCCGCTATCCCTTCCCCTCCTTCTTCCCCCCCCCCCCCCCGAAAGGTGACGTGTGGGGCTCTGGTCAAACAGTAAATCACTCGACTCACTGCTCCCAACACTACTGTAAGTACATGCCTGCCTTGTATTCTAGTGGATTTATTGGTTGAAAGCTTCACTTTTGACCAATAATAAACTTAGTCTTTTCAGCCTTGCTCTAAGTTGACTGTTGTAATAATCACCACGTCTTTTAGGTGTTGTACTTATGGAGAGTGATTATTTAAGCAGTGGGTAACCTGTCTATCTTGTCAGCTTGGATGACAGAGAGGGTCACCTGTCAATCAACGAGAAGAACGAATGGAGATGGACTAACGTCCTGAGACGTCCCCTTTTTGGATTTAATTACCTGTGCACCTGTATGAAATTGCAGGACGTAACCCCACATCATTGCAGCGGTAAAGAACCTGCTTTCCTGTCATCGGGATATAATACTCATGGCTATACTGTGAAGAACTAGCCAGTGGGTCGTAACCAACACTGTGGCCAGAATGTTTAGACAAAAGGGATTTTGAAGGATTTGAGGCTAACCCTGAGAAGCCTATGCCAGTTGTGGAATCAAATGTGGCATTGGGGAAATCCTTGGGGTTGGAGGTTAGTGGGGAGGATGTGGAAGAGTTGGTGGAGGAGGACAATGATGAACTAACCACTGATGAGCTGCAAGATCATCTTCAACAGCAAGAGGCCAGACCTGAGGAAACTGTTCCGGAGGAGGGGATAGAGAAATTGAGGAAGTTGCCTACATCAAAGATTAAGGAAATGTGTGCAAAGTGGCTTGAAGTGCAAATCTTTTTTGATGAAAATCACCCTCACACAGCTATTGCAAGCCATGCTGGTGACTATTACACTGACAGTGTTGTGAACCACTTTAGGAAAGTCATAAAGGAACGGGAGGTACAGGCCTCTATGGACAGATATGTTGTGCGACAGAGGTCCAGTGACTCTCAAGCTGGTCCTAGTGGCATTAAAAGAAGAAGGGAAATAACCCCGGAAAAGGACTTGACACCTCAAGTCCTAATGGAAGGGGATTCCCCTTCTAAACATTAACAACATCCACACTCTCCCCTCCTCCCATCCCATCAATCATTACCAGATCTTCAATAAAGGTAAGTGTCAGTTTGTGTGTGTATTAAATTAAAAATTTTTATGTGAAAAATTTTTTTTTTTTTTATTCCTTGGGGGGAAATTACTTAAGCAATGAAAATTTTCAGCCAACGTGGCTTTCCCAAACAGATTAATATGCTAGCTTTGGGAGGATATATTGTGAACTTTATACGTTATGCTTCAAACTGTTGTTTTTTGAGCACCTCTAAAAAGCGTGAAAATGTGTGATGGGTGAATTTTTTTAAGATAAGAAATACGTGGCCCCCCGCTTAACGATCCCCTCCAAAAAAAATGCGCCCAATTTTTTGGTATTTAGTAAGTGCTTTGTATGTATTTTGGGGGGGTCTGAATGGCAAATCTATTTCCCCATTTTCCTTAAGGAAAAAATTCGGTCAGTACTGGCACTGAACATACTACGGGAAGAAAAAAGTTTTAACCGGGGGTCCACTGTTTTTTTTTTTTTTGGGGGGATTTTCTTTCTTTTTTTGGGGTCACCCCCTCGGTGGGAGACAGCCGACTTTTCCAAAAAAAAAAAAAAAAAAAAATTAATAAAAATATAGATAATAAAAACATAACAGGGGCCCCTCGACCAGCGATGGCATCGTTTAAACGATAAATCGACTAGCGTCTCTAACGCAAAAATTTTTGCCCGATTAGCCTAAAAAACTCGCCCAACCTTTTCGTTCCGTCTGAGACCGTCCATTCTGGCCAGTGTTTACAAGCCACCCACCACCCGGTGCTTCCAAGATACAATGGAAATTTTTCTATTATCACAGCCTTTTTAGTGATTGCACCTGCAAAATAAGTCACCTGGCCCCAAGAAAGTTTTCTTTTCCAACCCACAGAAAAAAGGGGGAGAATTACTTGGAAGAAGAAAGGATCATTGCTAAGTATGAAAGTGGGGCATGTCCCCCGCGGGCCCGGGCTGTACAAAAAACCCCCCATCCCCCACGCTACTATTGTGGCCAAGAAAAACGGAAATAAGGAAGGTTTTTCCCAAAGGTCAACTTTTTTTCGAAACGAGATCGCAGTGATAGAAAGTTGAAGACTGTTATGGTAGGAAAATGAAAAACAGATAGCGGGAGAAGCATCCCCAAAGCGATCAAAATGTAAAAAGGGTAGAATTTTGTGACGTTTTAATTAAAAAATGCCAGCAACAGGGGTGATGTGATAAATTTTTAAGGCCGCAAAGTTGGGTTTTGAGAGATTTAAGAACGAGTGGCATACATAGTGTGAAAGGATGGTGGACTGCCAGTTTGGACCAAAAAGCAGCTGAAAAATATGTGCGGGAAATTAAAGGGAGTACATAGACAGTGAAGGACGAAACCTGAACAAGTGTTTAAGGGTGACCTGACAATTTTGGAAACATTTTTGGAAGTCATAAAGGAAGGGGGGTACAGGCCTTATGGGCAGATATTTTGTGCGACAGGGGCCCCAGTGACTCTAAAAGTGGTCCTAGGGGCATTAAAAAAAGAAGGGGAAAACCCCAAAAAAGGGATTGCCACCTCAAGTCCTAAGGGAAAGGGGGATTCCCCTTCAAAACACTAAGACCATCCATAAATCTCACCAGATTTAAATAAAGGTAAGTGCATGTAACTGGTTTTTTTCAGTTGTGTGTATTAAAAATTAATATTTCTGTGTTAAAATTTTTTTTTTTCAATATTCTATGTTTTGCATGGTTTAATTGTTTTCCCCTTATTTCTTGGGGGGAAAATTAACTTGACTAACATTATTTTGCTAACGATGAGCTCCGGAAGGGATTAATAGCGTTAGTCGGGGGTCCACTGTAAATAATAAGTACTAATATAAAAAATTATAATAATAGATGGCTTAAAAAAAGGCCGTCACTAGATGGCAGTTTTTTACCACAAAAAAGGGGGAGGGGTTTTGGGGGGGTCCTCCACCTGTTAAATAATGACAATTTTACTCTTTTATATATAATCATTTTCTAGTTTTTTTAAATTGTTTATGTATATTAGTTTAAACTGTGTAACCAGATATACTGTGATATTATTTAAGTTTACTGGGGAGTTTCCGGGAAACCCCCCCCCGGGCCCCCCCCCCCGGTCTGTGCCATTCCCCCAGATGATTTTTTTTTTTTTTTTTTTTTTAAACAAGTCGGCCGTCTCCCCCCCGAGGGGGGGTGCCCCAAAAAAAAGAAAGAAAATCCCAAAAAGAAAATACTTTCATCATCTTCAAACACTTTCACCACCTGACATTTCCTTTTTTAATTAAAAAAAGTTGAAGCATAAATTAAAATTTAAAATATCCCCCCAAAACTCCCATTCCCAAACCCCTTTTTAAAGTCACCCATTGTACCCCATTTCCGGACCAACCCGATATATAAAAAAACCGGTTCCCTGTCCCTTCACTAAATATTCCCCGCCCCAAACCCCAAAGATCGCAGGTCCCAATACCATTCGTCTCCATTCACTCCATCTAACACCTCACTCACGTTGCTGGAACCCAAGCCCCTTCCCCAAAAAACCTTTTTTTACCCCCCTCCTCCCAACCCTTTTTTGAGGGCGACCCCTACCCCCCCCCCTTCCTTTCCCCCATAGATTTTATTGCTTTTCCCGTCATTTACTTTGTTTCCCTTCTCTCTAAAGACCCAAAACCCCCTCAACAAACCCCCCCCTTCTGCCCCTGACTAATATTTTTTTTAACTCCACACCCTTTTCCAATTTCCACACTCCGAATTTTTCTAATATTTACACCACACATTTCCCTTTAAAAAGGAACTCCACTGCCTCCCAAACCCTCTCCTCGCTGCTGCTTTTCCACCCCAAGCTTACACCCATATAAATGTTGGTACTACTTTTCTTTCAATTCCCCTTTTTTTTTTCCCCCATAGATAACGTTTTTTTGACTCCACATATACCTCAACGCACCACTCACCTTTTTCCCTCTCAATTTTTATGATTAACCTCATCCTCATAAATCCATCCCCCGACACGTCAATCCCAATATTGAAAAAATTTTACTTTTCCCTACTCCTCCTCCCCCAATTTTATACCAATTTTTCTTTATCTAAAACATTTGCACCCTATCCCTTACTTTTTCATGTTCACTTTAAATTTCTACCTTTACACACATTTTCCCAAAATCATCCACTAACCCCTTTTCAATTTTTTTTAGAAACCCCATAAACACAGTTCTCAGAAAATGTAAATGTGTCAATTCCCCTTTTTTAAATTTTTATTTTCCCCTATTTTTAAACCCCCCCCCCCCAAAACCCCAGCATTTACTTCCCTTTAAACCCATCTATAAATTTAAATTTAAACAACCCTGGTACATTAACCCCTGTCAGACCCATTTTCCGGGGAAATGTTTCCCCCTTTTTCTACACCCCTAACCTGGCCCCCTACCCCCCCTAAAAACTCTTTACAGCATTTATTTAAATTACCACCCATTCCTATCTTCAAAATCGCCCCCATTGCCCTCTATCCACTTATCATATGCCTTTTCTAATCCCTAAAAGCAATAAAACTTCCCATCTTTACTAAATACTGTCACTATTGCTTCAATGTAAACACCTATCTCCATCCCCTCCCCTCTAAAAAACCCCCTTGTCATCCGCAAACCACTTTGTCTTTTCTAATTTTTTTCAAATTTTAACCCCACCGTAACTTTTCCGGATACCAGTAAGCTTATTCCTTATAATTTTTTTCAGTCTCTTTTTCCCCCTTTTCCCCTTTTTATAAAGGGACATCATTCTCTCTGCCAATCCTAGGTACCTTCCCCCCTTTTATACATTTTTAAACAAAAAATACCAACCCTCCAACATATATCCCCCCCCCCGCTTTTTAAAATTTCTGTCTGATCCCCTCGTTCCAGCTGCTTTACCCCCCTTTTATTTTTCGTAATCCCCACATACCCCCCCACACTTCTTCGCCTTTTCACCCTAAAAAATGGTTACCTCCCTGACCGTGCATAAATTATGCCTTGTTTTTTTCCCAATGATATTTGTAAATTATTCATGAAGTATTTTGCCCGGTCTCCCAGACAAACTCTCGTCCACCGCCCACACCCCGCCCCTACCACTACATGAAGACTATTTTTTACATTTAGAGAAAATACAGTTTCTAGTTTTTTTAATTGTTTTATGTATATTTTGAAGAAAAAAGATAGTAAATAACCGTAGGTTGAATTTCAAATTTTTAAAGTCAGGGTTCCATGGAATGGATTAATTTATTTCAAATTTTTTAAATGAGGGAAAAATTACTGCAAACGACAAATCCGTTCGGCAAGGGGATGGAATGGATTAAACTTGCAAGCAGAGGTTCCACTGTATACATAAACTACACTGAGGACAAGGTTAACCTGCAGATTAGTTCCTGAGCCGGAGATAAGAACCGCAACTCTTTTGTGTGGAGTTACAAGTGAGTGGCCCAGGTGAAGCATGGAGGCTGCACCAACACTCAACACATTTTCCAGATCTTCAATCACAACTTGTGGAGACCCTGCAAAACAATATTTGAGATGTGAAAGAAACAGAATGCATGTTGACTCATGAAATCATAATACACAACTGCAAACAAATCATGGAACAGGTGGGGCTTGAACCGATTCCGTGATTATGATGTGTGATGGTCTTCGTGCAGGCTAGTTTCCTTAGTTAGGGGCAAAAGTAGAGTGATAAATGCCGATACTCATACAATAGCCTAGGTGGGATACGGCCCGTTTGTTGAAAGAAGACTAATACAATAATTAAAAAAATAAAGTTCATGGTCTACGATGTGACCCCTCAATATATCATAGTCATGCAAGTAAAAACTTTACAACTTTTGTATGCAACCTTCCAGTATGGTATGAATTTTTATATATTCAACATGTGATACACTATACTGTACTGTGCAGTTATTCACTCCCATGCAAATATTAGGATGAATCCCAATTATGGGATTTGAAAATTAACTTGACAAACCAGCACAGTGTTGCCTCAACGCCATTCTGACCTTTATGCCGTGCCTGTAGCACTCCAATAACAAGGGCTTGGTTGTTGGAAATTAGCTTAGTGACCTGCATCACCTCCTCTGCTCCTACCACCAACACAAAACCAATTCCACAGTTAAATGTACGACTCATTTCACTGCTGCTCACACCTGTTTCAATACGAGTAAAAAAATTTCATAAAGTATAAATAGCTTACTGTACATCAATAATAAAAAGGTAATCATAAAACATACAAAATAAGCTACAATAAAATGGCATTGAAATTTATTTTCACTGACTATAATAACCTACAAATTGTTTTAACTCTTTGACTGTCGCAAGCCCCTTTCTGAAACTCATTCTGTCGCAAAATTTTTGGAAAAAAAAAAAAATTTTTTTTTTTCTCATGAAATGATAGAGAATCTTTTCCCGATGGTAATGACACCAAAAGTAAGAAATTTGGTCGAAAACTCACGGAATTACGCTTCCACGAAGTTAGCAGTCTCGGCGACATACACATCCGCGATTTCGCCGACTTTGAGCCCTGTTTTTGACCAGTTGCATTGTTCCAGTTGACCAAACTCATAGCTATTTCTTTAGAACTTCATTTTTCTATCAGTTGAGTACAAGAAACCGCCCATTTACCGATTTGAACTACCCAATAAAGTGGTCAGAAATTGGCAATTTGGCTAATTTCGTGCAAATTAAAAAAGATGCCAATTTCAAAATAGGGACCAGAATAAACAATGTAGACATTCTTGGCACTAAAATAACATATCCTCTGTTCATTTAGTCACATCTCAAGGCCCCTCTTATATTACTATTGCTTTCTATTTTGATTTTTTATTCATACAAAAAATACAAAATTTACCATTATGCAGATACTGCTTTTAATTTAAAAAAGGGTATAAAAAAAATACGTGACTAGTGAAAGAATATGGGACTCCCCAGTTGATGTGTATTGGGACGTTGGTGTGATTTGCTTACTCCTGAACTTTGGTAAAAATCGAACCTTTCGCTACTTTGAGTCAATTTAAAGGTCTTTTTTTCTGGGTATTGAGAGATTTAAGCAAGGAAGGGGTACAGTAATGAAAAATGATCATTAGGGAAGGGAGAAAAAGAAATATGAATTTTTGAAAATTCGAATTATGTGGATTAAAGAAAAGGGTTTGGATGCGAGAAGTGGGTATAATAAGGTTGTATGCCCCGGGAGAGAGAGGAATGCAGGGAGAGAGAGGATTTTGGGAGATTTAAAATGAATGTATAGGGGCCTTTGAACCCAATGAGGGTAATTGTGGTAGGGGGACTGAAAGCTAAAGTAGGAGAAACTTTTAGAGGGGTGTGGTAGGTAATTTGGGGGGGCCGGTGTAAATGAAATGGGGCCCCTTTTATTGAATTTGTATAGAAAGGGTTTAGTTTTGGTAAAATATTTTAAGAAAAAAAGGATAAATAAGTATACACGATTGATGTGGGCGAAATGAAGTAGTTTGTTGGATTATGTTTGGTAGATAAAAGACTGTTGAGTAGACTTCAGGATGTACATGTTTATAGAGGGGCCACAGATATATCAGATCACTTTCTAGTTGTAGCTACACTAAAGAGTAAAAGGTAGATGGGATACAAGGAGAATAGAAGCATCAGGGAAGAGAGAGGTGAAGGTTTATAAACTAAAAGAGGAGGCAGTTAGGGAAAGATATAAACAGTTATTGGAGGATAGATGGGCTAATGAGAGCATAGGCATTGGGTCGAAGAGGTATGGGGTAGGTTTAAAAATGTAGTGTTAGAGTGTTCAGCAGAAGTTTGTGGTTACAGGAAAGTGGGTGCAGGAGGGAAGAGGAGCGATTGGTGGAATGATGATGTAAAGAGAGTAGTAAGGGAAAAAAGTTAGCATATGAGAAGTTTTTACAAAGTAGAAGTGATGCAAGGAGGGAAGAGTATATGGAGAAAAAGAGAGGGGTTTAAGAGAGTGGTGAAGCAATGTAAAAAGAGAGCAAATGAGAGAGTGGGTGAGATGTTATCAACAAATTTTGTTGAAAATAAGAAAAAGTTTTGGAGTGAGATTAACAAGTTAAGAAAACCTAGAGAACAAATGGATTTGTCAGTTAAAAATAGGAGAGGAGAGTTATTAAATGGAGATTTTAGAGGTATTGGGAAGATGGAGGGAATATTTTGAGGAATTGTTAAATGTTGATGAAGATAGGGAAGCTGTGATTTCGTGTATAGGGCAAGGAGGAATAACATCTTGTAGGAGTGAGGAAGAGCCAGTTGTGAGTGTGGGGGAAGTTCGTGAGGCAGTAGGTAAAATGAAAGGGGGTAAGGCAGCCGGGATTGATGGGATAAAGATAGAAATGTTAAAAGCAGGTGGGGATATAGTTTTGGAGTGGTTGGTGCAATTATTTAATAAATGTATGGGAAGAGGGTAAGGTACCTAGGGATTGGCAGAGAGCATGCATAGTTCCTTTGTATAAAGGCAAAGGGGATAAAAGAGAGTGCAAAAATTATAGGGGGATAAGTCTGTTGAGTGTACCTGGTAAAGTGTATGGTAGAGTTATAATTGAAAGAATTAAGAGTAAGACGGAGAATGGGATAGCAGATGAACAAGGAGGCTTTAGGAAAGGTAGGGGGTGTGTGGACCAGGTGTTTACAGTGAAACATATAAGTGAACAGTATTTAGATAAGGCTAAAGAGGTCTTTGTGGCATTTATGGATTTGGAAAAGGCGTAATGACAGGGTGGATAGGGGGGCAATGTGGCAGATGTTGCAAGTGTATGGTGTAGGAGGTAGGTTACTGAAAGCAGTGAAGAGTTTTTACGAGGATAGTGAGGCTCAAGTTAGAGAAATGTAGGAAAGAGGGAAATTTTTTCCCAGTAAAAGTAGGCCTTAGACAAGGATGTGTGATGTCACCGTGGTTGTTTAATATATTTATAGATGGGTTGTAAGAAAAGAAAATGCGAGGGTCTTGGCAAGAGGGTGGAGTTAAAAGATAAAGGAATCACACACAAAGTGGGAGTTGTCACAGCTGCTCTTTGCTGATGACACTGTGCTCTTGGGGAGATTCTGAAGAGAAGCTGCAGAGATTGGTGGATGAATTTGGTAGGGTGTGCAAAAGAAGAAAATTAAAGGTGAATACAGAAAGAGTAAGGTTATGAGGAAAACAAAAAGATTAGGTGATGAAAGATTGAATATCAGATTGGAGGGAGAGAGTATGGAGGAGGTGAATGTATTCAGATATTTGGGAGTGGACGTGTCAGCGGATGGGTCTATGAAAGATGAGGTGAATCATAGAAATTGATGAGGGAAAAAGGGGTGAGTGGTGCACTTAGGAGTCTGTGGAGACAAAGAACTTTGGTCCTTGGAGGCAAAGAGGGGAAAATGTATGAGAGTAAAGTTTTACCAACGCTCTTATATGGGTGTGAAGCGTGGGTGATGAATGTTGCAGCGAGGAGAAGGCTGGAGGCAGTGGAGATGTCATGTTTTGAGGGTAATGTGTGGTGTGAAATATATGCAAAAATTCGTGTTTGGAAGTTAGGGGGAGGTGGGGGATTACCAAACTGTTGTCCAGAGGGCTGAGGAAGGGTTGTTGAGGTGGTTGGACATGTAGAGAGAATGGAGCGAAACAGAATGACTTCAAGAGTGTATCAGTCTGTAGTGGAAGGAAGGGGGGTAGGGGTCGGCCTAGGAAGGGTTGGAGGGAGGGGGTAAAGGAGGTTTTGTGTGCGAGGGGCTTGACTTCCAGCAGGGATGCGTGAGCGTGTTTGATAAGGAGTGAATGGAGACAAATGGTTTTTTAATACTTGACGTGCTGTTGGAGTGTGAGCAAAGTAACATTTATGAAGGGATTCAGGGAAACCGGCAGGCCGGACTTGAGTCCTGGAGATGGGAAGTACAGTGCCTGCACTCTGAAGGAGGGGTGTTAATGTTGCAGTTTAAAAACTGTAGTGTAAAAACACCCTTCTGGCAAGACAGTGATGGGTGAATGATGGTTTAAAGTTTTTTTTTTTTCGGGCCACCCTGCCTTGGTGGGAATCGGCCAGTGTGATAATAATAAAAAAAAAAATTTCATCACGAAAATAATCAAAGTCATCTCTATTACTGTAATATGCTTTCCATTTTATCATGAAAGACCATGAAAATGAGAATACAATGATAAATACTATAAGAAAATACACATCAAAGTCGGCATTTTAATCCAAAAAAAAAACGGTCAGTTTTTTTTTCTCATTATGCACTGCGTGCTGCAGGATTTTTTTTATGTGGTGCACACTGACCACACAGACCCATTCTCTCACATGTGGGCCTACCAGCTTTCTCCTGCTTGATTTGAAGCCACTAGAATTTACGCATTTAAATACGTCTGAAGCAGTGGCGCGTAAGATGTGCATATACGATCGAAACAGTCAAAGGGTTAAAGCACAATTCTCTTTGTAATACATTACATCAAAATGTTTTAAAGTTAGAAATGCAATAATGTATTGTAATAAGTAAATTACTATAATAATTTAAGAATGTTAAAGACACAGCAGTGTAGCTAAAGAAATAAAAAAAAAATGAATGAAAACACCTAACACACTTCAAGTACCAATAAACACGTTCCTTGAAGCAGCATTCTATGCTCACTCTTATACTGTATCTACATTTTTACTAAATGCCACCAGCATCTTAAACCAGTGCTCTTTGCCAGTGATATAACTTTTGCCATCTCAAATAATGAGCCAGAGGTCTCATGGCACAAACACTTGTAGTTCTTCAGCAACACTGACCAAAATGCAACAAACATAATACTGCAACAAACTCAACAAATAAACACTTGATTGGCTACAAATAAATTTGCATTAAATACTTTATAAAGTCTAAAACATACTACTGTACTATAAGGAAATATAAAGAACAAGTGAATGTAAATTTCTGGGGCTACATTTGTTCAATACAGACGTTACCCTACTTACGAACATTTGAGTTATGAACATTCGGACATACAGACAGACTACCATGTTAGTTAAAGTTAGTTAAAGAAGTTTTTTATTACAATATTTATTACTAAATGTAGTAGGTTGGTAGACAGCAACCGCCCAGGGAGGTACTACCGTCCTGCCAAGTGAGTGTAAAACGAAAGCCTGTAATTGTTTTACATGATGGTAGGATTGCTGGTGTCCTTTTTTCTGTCTCATGAACATGCAAGATTTCAGGTACGTCTTGCTACTTCTACTTACACTTAGGTCACACTACACATACATGTACAAGCACATATATACACACCCCTCTGGGTTTTCTTCTATTTTCTTTCTAGTTCTTATTCTTGTTTATTTCCTCTTATCTCCATGGGGAAGTGGAACAGAATTCTTCCTCCGTAAGCCATGCGTGTTGTAAGAGGCGACTAAAATGCCGGGAGCAAGGGGCTAGTAACCTCTTCTCCTGTATATATTACTAAATGTAAAAGGAGAAACTTTTGTTTTTCCTTTTGGGCCACCCCACCTCAGTGGGATACGGCCAGTGTGTTGAAAGAAAGAAGAAAGATTTATTACTAAATGTAGTAGGTTGGTAGACAGCAACCGCCCAGGGAGGTACTACCGTCCTGCCAAGTGAGTTTAAAACGAAAGCCTGTAATTGTTTTACATGATGGTAGGATTGCTGGTGTCCTTTTTTATGTCTCATAAACATGCAAGATTTCAGGTAAGTCTTACTACTTCTACTTACACTTTGGTCACACTACACATACATGTACAAGCATATATATACACACACACTCCTCTGGGTTTTCTGCTATTTTCCTTCTAGTTCTTGTTCTTGTTTATTTCCTCTTATCTCCATGGGGAAGTGGAACAGAATTCTTCCTCCGTAAGCCATGCGTGTTGTAAGAGGTGACTAAAATGCTGGGAGCAAGGGGGCTAGTAGCCCCTTCTCCTGTATAAATTACTAAATTTAATAAGAGAAACTTTTGTTTTTCTTTTTGGGCCACCCCGCCTCGGTGGGATACGGTCGGTTTGTTGAAAGAAGAAGATATACTTAAAAAAAAAAACTAAAACACTGTATATCACATTTTTAGCAATTACATATTATATTTAAAAATTATTATAATTATTCTACCTTGTACTGCCAGATGTTATATTAGCTTTGGCTCTTCTTGAAATACTGAACATAATATGGCAATGTCAGGCAGTACCACAGTCTAATTGTATATGTCCCAAAATTATTAAAAATGTTGACATGAGTTCTTTCTTTCTTTCAACACACCGGCCGTATCCCACCGAGGCGGGGTGGCCCAAAAGGAAAAACGAAAGTTTCTCCTTTTACATTTAGTAATATATACAGGAGAAGAGGTTACTAGCCCCTTGCTCCCGGCATTTTAGTTGCCTCTTACAACACGCATGGCTTACGGAGGAAGAATTCTGTTCCACTTCCCCATGGAGATAAGAGGAAATAAACAAGAATAAGAACTAGAAAGAAAATAGAAGAAAACCCAGAGGGGTGTGTATATATGTGCTTGTACATGTATGTGTAGTGTGACCTAAGTGTAAGTAGAAGTAGCAAGACGTACCTGAAATCTTGCATGTTCATGAGACAGAAAAAAGGACACCAGCAATCCTACCATCATGTAAAACAATTACAGGCTTTCGTTTTACACTCACTTGGCAGGACGGTAGTACCTCCCTGGGCGGTTGCTGTCTACCAACCTACTACCTATATGACATGAGTTGTCTAATAAAATTATTATTTTTTAACACAACAGCCATCTCCCACTGGGGCAGGGTGACAAAAAAAAAAAAAAAAGATAGTTTTCTTCTTTTTACATTTAGTTATTTATACAGAAGAAGGGGTTACTAGCCCCTTGGTCCTGGCATTTTAGTTGCCTCTTATGATATGCATGGCTTACGGAGGACAAATTCTGTTCCACTTCCCCATGGAGAAGTAGCAGTAAGTATTATTATTACATTTACAACATACCATGTGCAGCAAGCCAGTGAAAGACAGGATGAATGTGCCCACTTGGTAGCCTGGAGCATGGCCATGAGATTATTAGGGAGGACACGAGGAAGATTCTCCACCAGGCCACCTCCAGTGATGTGGGCTGCAGCCTTCACCAGACCACTCTTAAGTGCAGCTAATACCATCTTCGAGTAGATTTTTGTTGGCATCAAAAGCTCAGAGCCTAAAATAAACAATAAAATTAATGTTATATTTTATAAGTTCTCATCATGTATATTAACCATATACATACATCAAATTTCATCATCCCCTTTTTCTATATGTAAAACTATAGTTCTTCTTTTTTCTTTCAGCGTACCAGCTGCATCCCACTGAGGTGGGGCGGCCCAAAAGGAAAAACAAAAGTTTCGCCTTTTAAATTTAGTAATATACATACAGGGGAAGGGGATACTAGCCCCTTGCTCCCGGCATTTTAGTCGCCTCTTACGACACGCATGGCTTACGGAGGAAGAATTGTGTTCCACTTCTCCATGGAGAAAAACTATAGTTATTCTCTATAAAACATATTTTTTGTTAATATTTCCCATAAGAAATAATGTAACTAATTAATCCATTCCAGACACCCAAAAATATTAACAAAAAATACATTTTATAGAGAATAACTATAGTTTTACATTCAGAAAAGGGATGATGAAATTCGAGGGTCCACTGTAACTTGTTGTACTGTACTATAATTTCAAAACATGTGTATATTGTTCAGCATATTATAAAAGGATGATATCCATCTTATTTCTCCCATAATAAATGTTTTACACTATATTACAGTATAGTGTATATTGTATAGGGCTCAATAAGCATATATGTACAGTGGACCCCCGAGCTTCGTCGGCATCGACTTTCGTGAAATCCGACTTTCGGCAAGTTTTTTCGGCAAAATTTAGCTTCACGTTCGGTGATTGGACTCGTGATTCAGCGACCATCCGGTACGCATCCGCCCATTCTCCGCACCATTCACATTCAATGTGCCATTATTTACTAGTGCGTGACCATCACCCCACAGGTTCATACAATACATTTCATGATAATCCATTGTTGTTTATGCTTGCAACTGTTAAATAAGTCACCATGGGCCCAAGGAAAGCTAGTGCAAGCCCTTTGGTAAAGAAAGTGAGGAACATCGATCGAATTCATGAAGGAAATCGTTGAAAAATATGAGAGCGGAGTGCTGTTACAGAACTTGCCAGGATGTATGGCAAACCCTTTCAACCATCACTTCGATCGTGGCGAAGGGAAAGGAAATAAAGTGTGCTGTTGCTGCAAAAGGGGTGGATCTTTTCTTTCTTTCTTTCTTTCAACGTACCAGCCGTACCGAGGTGGGGTGGCCCAAAAGGAAAAATGAAAGTTTCTCCTTTCAAATTTAGTAATATATACAGGAGAAGGGGTTACTAGCCCCTTGCTCCCGGCATTTTAGTCGCCTCTGATAACATGCATGGCTTACGGAGGAAGAATTCTGTTCCTCTTCCCCATGGAGATAAGAGGAAATAAACAAGAACAAGAACTAGAAAGAAAATAGAAGAAAACCCAGAGAGGTATGTATATATATGCTTGTACATGTGATGAATGGTTTTTCAAACCATTCATCACAAATGTCCCATTGTATTGTTTATGTACTACATCTATATTTCATGTAAAAAAAATTTTTGTTTTAATACTTCTGGGTGTCAGGAATGGATTAATTGTATTTACATTATTTCTACTGGGAAAAATTGATTCGAAAATCGTCTATTTCAATCATCGTCGCACTTCCAGGAACGGATTAATGACGATAAACGAGGGACCACTGTATAAGAAATATTGATTTCTGTATCAATATAGTCCAATTTTAGTCGAGACCTGAAAGCAAAAATTCTAGATTATTTAATCATTGCTTAACATAGATGGGGTTGTAAAAGAAGTGAATACTAGGGTGACGAGGAGAGATGTGGGATTGAAAGGTAGTGAGTATGGTATTTTGGTTTTTGCCAACGACAAGGTCCTTTTGGGAGATTCGGACAAGTTGCAAAGGACGGTAAACAAATTTGGAAGGATATGTTAACCCTTTCAGGGTCGCCAGGCCCTCTCCGAGACTTGTTCTCAGGGTCGCCAAATTTTCAAAAAAAAAAAAAAAAAAATTTCCTTATGAAAAGATAAGAGAATCTTTTCCCGATCATAATGACACCAAAAGTATGAAATTTGATGGAAAACTTATGGAACTATGCTCTTGCGAAGTTAGCGGTCTCGACAATGTTTACGCATTGGCGATTTTGCCCACTTTGAGCCCTATTTTCGGCCAATTCCAGTGTACTAGTCAACAAAAATCATAACTATTTCGCTAGAACTCCATTTTTTCTATCGAATGAGTACATGAAACCACCCATTTACCGATTTCAACTATCCAATAAAGTGGTCAAAATTTAGCAATTTTGCCAATTTCACATAAATTTCAAAAGATGCCAATTTCCGAATAGGGTCCAGAATAAACAAGAAAGACATTCCTGGCACTAAAATATCATTTTCTCTGTTCATTAGTCACATCCCCAGGCCTCTCTTATATTCTTTTGCTTTCCAATTTGAATTTTTATTCTCACAAAAAATAGATTGATTTCTGTTATGCAGACTACTGCATTTAGTGTAGAATATGGTATAAAATAATATCGGCAAAGTTCGCGGCTTTCACTTGTGACCCCACATAAGGCTCACTTGGACAACGAATATGGATCCCAGGTTACAAACCCTTAAAGTGGTGACAGAGTGAACAGGCAAAAGGGGGGGGTTTGGCCTGTACTTTGCAGAGTCACTTGTTTGACAGAATGCTAAATGCCTCAAATGATGTAGTGGAAGTTGTAGCAGTAACGGTCGAGAACCAAAACCTATAGTCATTGTGATAGTCTACAAGCCTCCGGAGCCAACATCCCAGCAATTCCAAGGAACAGCTGTTAAAATTGACCACTGTCTGGAAAACCTTTCCGTCTGACCCAACAATCTTGCTCCTGGGGGGTATTTCAACTTATGCAAGCCTAAAAGGAGGAATATAGCATATAATATTGTTGCAGTAATAACACCAGGAGGCAGCTCTGATGAACCTACACAATCACGAGAGCTTTTAATTTCTGCACAAAATTCAATTTAAACCTGCAAAATAAGTAGAGCCTACTAGGGACTGGAGAATACCGGACCTCATCTTCACTATACAATGATGATCTGATAAGAATATCACCTATCAAAACAATATATCAGATCACACATAATTGAGGTTCAAGTCATGTATGCGCGGAGCCCCAGACCGACATAATGAGATTAGTACGAGGAGCATTCACCAAATTCAACTTCGCAATGTAAACAAAAAAACTCATTATAGTGGGACCAAGTAACCAGAGTCCTAAACGATATAAGCTGGAAGATATACTAAGCAAAACAGACCCAACTTAGGCCTAGAACAGATTAACTCCGTTAGCACTCGATGTATGACAAGCTTATTCTCTAAGAAAAAGGAAGGAAGTAGCTGTCCTACCCAGAAAGAGACAGGCGACTCCCTTTACAGGACGGCGGAAAAGAATAACAGAGCGGATAAAAGAGGTCAATATATCTTGAATGCGTAGGAGACACTGGTAGAGAAAAATAGCAAGACATCGATATTAAGCTAAAAGTTTCTTTAGGAGTCAGGATTCGCGGAAAGGAACTAAAAGCCATAAATGAAATCGAAAGAAACCCAAAGTATTTCTTTCCTATGCCAAATCAAAATCGAGAAAAAGTCCAGTATTGGGCCCCTACTTAACCAAGATGGGTCCTACACAGATGACAAAAAGGGAAAATGAGTGAGTACTCAAGTCCCAATATGACTCAGTTTTTAGCAAGCCGCTAACCAGACTGAGAGTCGAAGATCAAAATGAATTTTTTATGAGAGAGCCACAAAATTTGTTTTAACACAAGCCTATCCGAGGTTATCCTGACGCCAAATGACTTCGAACAGGCGATAAATGACATGCCATGCACTCTGCCCCAGGGCCAGACTCATGGAACTCTGTGTTCATCAAGAACTGCAAGAAGCCCCTATCACGAGCCTTTCCATCCTATGGAGAGGGAGCATGGACACGGGGGTCGTCCCACAGTTACTAAAAACAACGACATAGCCCCACTCCACAAAGGGGGCAGTAAAGCAACAGCAAAGAACTACAGACCAATAGCACTAACATCCCATATCATAAAAATCTTTGAAAGGGTCCTAAGAAGAAGATCACCACCCCATCTAGAAACCCATCAGTTACACAACCCGGGGCCCAACATGGGTTTAGAACAGGTCGCTCCTGTCTGTCTAAAACTATTGGACCACTAGACAAGGTCCTAAATGCACTAGAAGACAAAAAGAATGCAGATGTAATATATACAGACTTTGCAAAAGCCTTCGACAAGTGTGACCATGGCGAAATTTAGCGCAAAAAATGCGTGCTAAAGGAATAACAAAAAGTGGGGGGTCGATGGATCTATAATTTCCTCACAAACAGAACACAAAAGAGTAGTCGTCAACGGAAAAAGTCCGGGGCAGTTTACGGTGAAAAGCTCTTTTCCAAACAAGGCAAAAGTATTTCCGCTCCCCACCCCCTTGTTCCTCATCCTATACCCCGACTAGAAAAGGGAAATTTTCAGCCACAGAAAGGGTTCTTCCTTTGAAAGATGACCCCGAACTGCATGACGTGCCCTTCCCCTTTTGCAGACACTGCAAAGCTCCAGGCAGACATAACCAAACTTTCATTTGGGCTGCAAAAAACAAATGAAATTTTCAACATGAAAATTTTTCAATTACTCAAAATTTTGGAAAAAACATGGGGAAAATTTAAATCTTCATCAGAGTAAAAAACAAATTCGGGCCACAAAATAGAGCGAAACCCCAAACCCGTAAAAGGGCCCTTTGGGGTGTCATTTTGGAAAATCTAAACCTTCAAGGACCATAACATTGTATCAATCGCATCTGCAAAAAAAAAATGACAGGAGGATAAGAAAAACCTTTCAAAACTAGGGGGCCAAGCCCATATGCCCACTTTTTCAGGTCACTTGTTCTATCTAGGAGGAATATTCCCTGCACCTAACAGCACCTTTAAGGCGGGTTAAAATTTGGGCCGACCAGAAAATGTACAGAGAACTTTCCGGCGCGCAAAAGGGAGATAAAAAAACCTAAATTTAAATTGGGGACGCTTGAGGTTCCTAAACTGTATTCCCGGGAACGCAGGGGGAGAGATACATGATTATATACACCTGGAAAATCCTAGGGGGACTATTACCGAACTTGCACCCCGAAAATCACCCACTACGAAAAAAAAAGACTTGGCAGCCCCGTGCACCTCCCCCCAATGAAAAGCAGGGGTGTCCCCTAGCACGTTAAAAAGCCCAAACAATAATGTCAGCGGCCAAAGACTTTTTTCAACTGCCCCCCAAAGCAAACAAAAAGGGGGATTACCAAAAACCCCCGGGCAGTCTTAAGCGGCACGGGACAAGCACCCAAAAGCCCATTTTCCGGATCACCGGGGCCTGTGGCTCGTATTTTTGGTTTTGCGTGCAGCCAGCAAAAAAAAAACAGCCGGGTTGATCAGGCTCTGACCACCAGGGGGCCCGGCCCTCAGACCGGGCCGCGGGGGCGTTGCCCCCCGGGAACCTCTCCAGGTAAACTCCAGGTAAACACTTTTTGAAAGAATATTAAACTCACCAGTTGACGGTAATTTGGGTGCGTACCCTGGGTTTATTTACTTTTTTAACTTTTGGGAAAAAACGAAAAATTTTTGCTAAATTTGAGCTCAATTTTAAGGGACTTTTCATTAAAACCATCCAAAAAACATCTCAATTTCTTAAAATGTCTTTCCCTTCCATAAAAAAGAGACCCGGAAAACAAATACACAATAAAAAACCATAAAGAAAATACAGTGCAAAGTCGCTTTTTTTTAATCCAAAAACACAAAGTTTTTTTTTCTTCATTATGCACTGTGTGCTGCAGGATTTTTTTTATACTGCGCACACTGACCACATAGACCCATTCTTTCATATGTAGGCCTACCAGCTTTCTCTCACTAGATTTGAGGGTGCTAGAATTTAGGCATACTAGTACGTCAAAATACCCTGGTGCGTAAGCCGTACTAGTACATCCGAAACCCTGAAAGAGTTAAAGAAGGAAATCAAAAATAAACTTTGAGAAGAGCAAGGTGACAAGAGTATCAAAAGTATAGGCAATGAGAGTTCATATATTAGATTGAAGGGAGAAGTAAATGCATTCTGATACTATTTGGGGGTGGACTTGTTGGTTGGTAAATGGATCTGAGAGATGAGGTGAACTGTAGAATTGATGAACGTAAAAAAAAAAATAAAAAAAAAAAAAATAATAAAAAAAAAAAAAAAATAAGGTGGGTGGCACATTAAGGCATCTGTGGAAACAGAACATGGCAGGGCATTCTGTAGTTTAGAGGGTCATCTGAACTGTGTCAGTACCCTTCTAGCAAATCTGACAACACAGTGACTGAATGAGTGACAGTGAAAGTGTTTTCTTCTTAAGGCTACCCTACCTCTGGGAGATGGCTGGAGTGTTAAGAAAGACAAAGACAAGAAAAAAAGAAACTTACCAAGAGTTTTACTGGAACAAAATGGAGCAGGATCTGTATATTTAAGATTCAACGCTTCAATAACTTTTCTGACTAAGCTAAAACCATTACTATGAAGGCCAGATGATGCTAGACCAAGCACAATATCTCCAGCCACAATTTCACTTCTGCGAGGTAACAAACTAGTTCTGTCAACAGCTCCAACAGTAAACCCAGCCAGGTCGTATTCTCCAGGTGAATACATGCCGGGCATCTCTGCTGTCTCACCCCCTGAAAATTATGCATAATAAGTTATAAGAGCCAAAAGTTTGGTTACACAATGACAACATACAAGATATTTTTTTTTTTTTACATTTTTTGTAGGACCAAATAATCTAAAGTTTGGATGGATGTTCTATTAAGCACTTTCTATAATGCCTATATCCGTCTTTTTTCAGGTTCCATTAAATAAACAGTACATGTTCTCTTATGAAAAAAAACACAAGTTTTATATTTGAGACAGGAAAATTTTTGTTAAATGGCAACTATTACTTACCAATGAGGGCACATCCTGCAAGGCAGCAGCCTTCTGCAACACCCTTAACAACACTGGCTGCCACTTCGACCTCGAGATGGCCAGTGGCAAAATAATCCAAAAAGAATAATGGTTGAGCACCATGTACCAAGACATCGTTGACACACATGGCCACTAGATCCTGCCCCACAGTGTTATGTATACCTGCTGCCTGGGCCACCTGACACAGAAGATTAAGATACTTGTACTATATATATGAGTTACCCTTTGCAAGTAACAGTCTTCCTGTCCCCAACAGGGCCACTACATGTGGTACTCATTAAAATTCGTTCAAATGAGCATCAGTCTGGTTCTCGAATAATTTAATGTCACATTACAGTGGACCCTCACCTAACGATATTAATTGGTACCCGAGAACGAATATCGTTAGGCGAATTTTTTAGCGTTAGCCGAGGCAAAATGTTAGAGCTAAAATGTATTGTTAGGCGAATTTAACGTTATGCGATGCGTTCGTTAGGCGAGGGTCCACTGTATTTTCTATATGTAGTGCTGATACTACAGTTTTTGAACTGTAGTATCAGCATTCCTTTAGTAAAACGGTGATGGAGTGAATGATGATGAAAGTGTTTCTTCTTTTTCAGGTCACCTTGTCTCGTGGGAAATGGCCAGTGTATTAAAAAAAAAAAAAGGCACCTGTTTTCTTTGACTCAGTAACATAATATCAAAATGAAAGCCAATCAATGAATAATTTAAAAAATATGTTCAATTTACTTCAAAAAGCCATTAATCTTTTTTTTTTTTCCTTTATGTGAAATTTTTGCACAAATTTTATTATTAATTCCCATTTACAGCCATATTTAAGGAAATATGATCTTAGTGCTGTCATGACTAGGTGCATGATTCCCGTATCATTCACCAAGTAGGTTAACACTGTACCTTCTATACATCAACGTATCTATTATCACTCTGAGAAACTGTCATGGCCTTATTCTAAAGATTTTTTTTTTTTCAACAAGTCAGCCATCTCCCACCGAGGTAGGGTGACCCAAAAAAAGAAAGAAAATCCTCAAAAAGAAAATACTTTCATCATCATTCAACACTTTCACCTCACTCACACATAATCACTGTTTTTGCAGAGGTGCTCAGAACACAACAGTTTAGAAGCATATACGTATAAAGATACACAACATATCCCTCCAAACTGCTAATATCCCGAACCCCTCCTTTAGAGTGCAGGCATTGTACTTCCCATTTCCAGGACTCAAGTCCGGCTATATAAAAATAACCGGTTTCCCTGAATCCCTTCTAAAGATACCGGTTTTAATTGCTTTTACTGGATATAAACTATGAAAAAAAAGGGGGAGGGGGTCCTACCTTCAGCTTAGTTCCAACACCATCAGTTCCAGACACTAATATAGGATCACTGTAGCCTGCTGCCTTGAGGTCAAACAATCCTCCAAATGACCCCAGACTGCCCATGACACCAGGGCAGGAAGTGGCAGCTGCTGCATCTTTAATGGCACATACCAGTGCGTCTCCAGCAGCAATATCCACACCACTGGCACGGTATGTTAGCCCACCTTGTTTCACAGTAATTCTGTATTAGGAATAAATAAGTTAAGTTACCATAAAGAAAGGAATGAATTTCAAGCATTACACATATGATCCCACAATATAAATCTGATGCTACTGTCGCATAATTAAATCTTATCCTACAAACACTGCATTATTAACTAATGCACTACTGTATAACTACTGTATAAATTCCAAGTGAACAATAAAAAGGTTAATGATCTAACCTAGCAATAGCTTTGGCAGCAATATCCTTTCTGAAGAAGGCTCCTTCAAATGTAACTTTGCTAGCTGCCACTGTAACCTTGGAGGCAGCTGCTGCAAGACTGGGATCAGTAACAGTTATCGCCAAGACACGACCTCCTGAGGTAACAAGTGTGTTGTCTTCGTGCTTTGTGCCAGCATGATACACTTGCACCCCAGGTGACTTGGACACTTCAGACAGTCCTGTGGAGAAAAATGTAATCCCATATACAATGTATTTTATGTTTTAATGCTCTCTAATAGGTTTTGTGTCTAAGGGGCTTGGATATACAGTAGATGTGTGTGTGTGTGTGTTAGATAGGAGTGAATAGAGATGAATGGTTTTTGGGACTTGATGAGCTGTTGGAGGGTGAACAGGGTAATGTTTTGTGAAGGGACTCAGGGAAACTGAAAGGAAGGGTTTGGGATATTGTCTGTTTAGAGTGACCAAACTTGCACACAAAAATCACTCCACATAAAAGCAAAAGACTCGACAGGAGATGCAACATTCCCCCGATGAAAAGCAGGGGTGCCACGAGTACACTGAGAGCCAACACAATAAGTGTCCGGGGCCCAAGACTGTTCAATTGCCTCCCAGCATACATAAGGAGGATTACCAATAGATCCCTGGCTGTCTTCAAGAAGGCACTGGATAGGCACCTAAAGTCAGTACCTGACCAACCGGGCTGTGGTTCGTACGTCAGCTTGCGTGTGGCCAGCAGTAACAGCCTGGTTGATCAGATCCTGATCCACCATGAGGCCTGATCTCAGAACGGGCTGCGATGGCATTGACCCCCAAAACCCTCTCCAGGTAAACTCCAGGTAAACATCTAAACTGTCATATCTGCACACCTTTGGCAAGACAGCGATAGTGTGAATGATGGTGAAAGTGTTTCTTTTTCAGATCACCCTGCCTCAGTGGGAGATGGCCAGCATGTTAAAAAAAGTTAATAAAAAATAGGAATTTAAAATTAATCTATTGAAGTAGTTCAGCAACACTGCAAAATTAGACACGTGCAACTCTTGGGTATCTTTGTTGAGGAAACGTTTCGCCACACAGTGGCTTCATCAGTCCATACAAAGGAGAATCGTGAAGAACAGGAGGAGAATGAGGTAATCATTCTCCTGTTCTTCACGATTCTCCTTTGTATGGACTGATGAAGCCACTGTGTGGCGAAACGTTTCCTTAATAAAGATACCCAAGAGTTGCACATCCGTCTAATTTATCAACGTGTCGGTTCTCTGAACCATTCATCTACAATACTGCAAAAACTAAAATTATGTGCAAGTATTCCAGTAAGCGTGCATGAGCGTGTTAGATAGGAGTGAATGGAGACGAATGATACGTGGGACCTGACGATCTGTTGGAGTGTGAGCAGGGTAATATTTAGTGAAGGGATTCAGGGAAACCGGTTATTTTCATATAGTCGGACTTGAGTCCTGGAAATGGGAAGTACAATGCCTGCACTTTAAAGGAGGGGTTTGGGATATTGGCAGTTTGGAGGGATATGTTGTGTATCTTTATATGTGTATGCTTCTAAACTGTTGTATTCTGAGCACCTCTGCAAAAGCAGTGATAATGTGTGAGTGTGGTGAAAGTGTTGAATGATGATGAAAGTATTTTCTTTTTGGGGATTTTCTTTCTTTTTTGGGTCACCCTGCCTCGGTGGGAGACGGCTAACTTGTTGAAAAAAAAAAAAAAGAATTCCTATACTATATAAAATACCTATATACGTAAGCAGTATTAAGTTTTCAGATCTCAAATTCGAATGCCAAATTTGGTGTTTTATTCATAAATTAGTTAAGTATCCAAATGTGTATTATTTTATTAAATTTAAATGATACAGGAAGCAAAATGAAGGAATTTAAAGATTTTTATAGAAAATACAGTAATTCCTACCTGTTATAGGTTTGCCTTTAGAATATGATCCTGGATAACCACCACTGACTAAGCAGACAGCCACACAACTTTTCGTTTCATCAAATTTAACTGGAACCTCTGCCAGCCGTCCCTCAACACATCCCTTCAATTTAAAATAAATTATATCTTAAAGATGAAATAAAAACAAAAACAATGTTTTTTGTGGTACACACTGAATATAAATTTTGAGCTTAACACATTTTGAATAGTAAACTCACCAAGATGATGCCATATAAATCAGACTGCAGAAGAGGAAGGAGAACTTGGGTTTCTGGGTCACCAAAGCGACAATTATATTCAAGAACTTTTGGTCCTGAGGATGTCATCATGAGACCTGCATATAACACACCTGGAATATAATAAATAAGATAACAGTACAGAACTTTACATTTCATCTTTTTTGGATCACCTGCCTCAGTGGGAGATGGCCAGTGTGTTAAGAAAAAAAAATAGTGCAGAACAGTGTAACTATACATTATTTGACACTACTGTGCATATTAGACTATATATTTATAACCAAGGGTGGATAGGGGGGCAATGTGGCAGATGTTGCAGGTGTATGGTGTAGGAGGTAGGTTACTGAAAGCAGTGAAGAGTTTTTACGAGGATAGTGAGGCTCAAGCTAGAGTACATAGGAAAGAGGGAAATTATTTCCCAGTAAAAGTAGGCCTTAGACAAGGATGTGTGATGTCACCGTGGTTGTTTAATATATTTATAGATGGGGTTGTAAGAGAAGTAAATGCGAGGGTCTTGGCAAGAGACGTGGAGTTAAACGATAAAGAATCACACATAAAGTGGGAGTTGTCACAGTTGCTCTTTGCTGATGACACTGTGCTCTTGGGAGATTCTGAAGAGAAGTTGCAGAGATTGGTGGATGAATTTGGTAGGGTGTGCAAAAAAAGAAAATTAAAAGTGAATACAGGAAAGAGTAAGGTTATGAGGATAACAAAAATATTAGGTGATGAAAGATTGGATATCAGATTGGAGGAGAGAGTATTGGAGGAGGTGAATGTATTCAGATATTTGGGAGTGGACGTGTCAGCGGATGGGTCTATGAAAGATGAGGTGAATCATAGAATTGATGAGGGAAAAGGGTGAGTGGTGCACTTAGGAGTCTGTGGAGACAAAGAACTTTGTCCTTGGAGGCAAAAAGGGGAATGTATGAGAGTATAGTTTTACCAACACTCTTATATGGGTGTGAAGCATGGGTGATGAATGTTGCAGCGAGGAGAAGGCTGGAGGCAGTGGAGATGTCATGTCTGAGGGCAATGTGTGGTGTGAATATAATGCAGAGAATTCGTAGTTTGGAAGTTAGGAGGAGGTGCGGGATTACCAAAACTGTTGTCCAGAGGGCTGAGGAAGGGTTGTTGAGGTGGTTCGGACATGTAGAGAGAATGGAGCAAAACAGAATGACTTCAAAAGTGTATCAGTCTGTAGTGGAAGGAAGGCGGGGTAGGGGTCGGCCTAGGAAAGGTTGGAGGGAGGGGGTAAAGGAGGTTTTGTGTGCGAGGGGCTTGGACTTCCAGCAGGCGTGCGTGAGCGTGTTTGATAGGAGTGAATGGAGACGAATGGTTTTTAATACTTGACGTGCTGTGTGTGTGTGTGTGATCGCTACTAGGTCACTCTCCCTGAGCCTTGAGCTTTATCATACCTCTGCTTAAAGCTATGTATGGATCCTGCCTCCACTACATCGCTTCCCAAACTATTCCACTTACTGACTACTCTGTGGCTGAAGAAATACTTCCTAACATCCCTGTGATTCATCTGTGTCTTCAACTTCCAACTGTGTCCCCTTGTTACTGTGTCCAATCTCTGGAACATCCTGTCTTTGTCCACCTTGTCAATTCCTCTAAGTATTTTGTATGTCGTTATCATGTCCCCCCTATCTCTCCTGTCCTCCAGTGTCGTCAGGTTGATTTCCCTTAACCTCTCCTCGTAGGACATACCTCATAGCTCTGGGACTAGTCTTGTTGCAAACCTTTGCACTTTCTCTAGTTTCTTTACGTGCTTGGCTAGGTGTGGGTTCCAAACTGGTGCCGCATACTCCAATATGGGCCTAACGTACACGGTGTACAGGGTCCTGAATGATTCCTTATTAAGATGTCGGAATGCTGTTCTGAGGTTTGCTAGGCGCCCATATGCTGCAGCAGTTATTTGGTTGATGTGCGCTTCAGGAGATGTGCCTGGTGTTATACTCACCCCAAGATCTTTTTCCTTGAGTGAGGTTTGTAGTCTCTGGCCCCCTAGACTGTACTCCGTCTACGGTCTTCTTTGCCCTTCCCCAATCTTCATGACTTTGCACTTGGTGGGATTGAACTCCAGGAGCCAATTGCTGGACCAGGTCTGCAGCCTGTCCAGATCCCTTTGTAGTTCTGCCTTGTCTTTGATCGAGTGAATTCTTCTCATCAACGTCATCTGCAAACAGGGACACCTCAGAGTCTATTCCTTCCGTCATGTCGTTCACAAATACCAGAAACAGCACTGGTCCTAGGACTGACCCCTGTGGGACCCCACTGGTCACAGGTGCCCACTCTGACACCTCGCCACGTACCATGACTCGCTGCTGTCTTCCTGACAAGTATTCCCTGATCCATTGTAGTGCCTTCCCTGTTATCCCTGCTTGGTCCTCCAGTTTTTGCACCAATCTCTTGTGTGGAACTGTGTGTGTGTGTGTTGTGTGTGTGTGTGTGTGTGTGTGGTGTGTGTGTGTGTGTGTGTGGTGTGTGTTTTTGGGGTGTGTGTGGTGTGTGTGTTTTTGGTGTGTGTGTGTGTTGTGTGTGTGTTGTGTGTGTGTGTGTGTGTGTGTGTGGTGGTGTGTGTGTGTGTGTGTGTGTGTGTTGTGTGTGGTGTGTGTGTGTGTGTGTGGGTGTGGTTAATTGTAATTGGTGTGTGTGTTGTGTGTGTTTCTCAAAAAACAATATTTGAAACCAAAAACTACTACAGTTGTACTGGGTGGGGAAGTGTGAATTGCTCATTACCTAAATTTGTTCATGATTTACCATGTAAAATGTAAGAAACCTTCTTACGGGATTCATTACCTTTGTAACTTGTGATTTTCTTCCCTTGTCCCTATTTCACCATAAAAACTTTGGGACCCCCACCCCTGGACCCATTACGTACCTCTGAAATCTGTAAATACCTTTGAACTTGTCATGATTGTGACTGACCTCCTGGGTTCATTACCTTTGTAAATTGGGGTTCATTCCCTTTGTAAATTGTGAATTCTTACCTCGTAACTTGCTCAGCTATAAATTGGAGTCCACCCCTGGACCAATTAGTACCTCTGTAACTTTTGACTACCCCCCAAGGAGGGGTAGGGGGGTGCAAATAAACATTTTAAAAACAAAAACTAATGTTGGAGTGTGAGAAAAGTAAATTTATAAAGGGGGGTTCAGGGAAACCGGCGGGGCCGGGATTGAGCCCTGGAGATGGGAATACAGTGCCTGCACTCTGAAGGGGGGGGTTTTAAATTTTTGCATTTTTAAAAATGTATGTAAAGCCCCCTTTGGCAAAGACAGTGATGGGTGAATGTGGTGAAAGTTTTTCTTTTTGGGGGGCCCCCCTGCCTTGGTGGAATGGGCCAAGTTGAAAAAAAAATAATAATAAAATTTATAACCAACACTGTTCTAGGTGTGGTTTGGTAAACAGCAACCCCCCGGGAGGTACTACCCCCTGCCAAGTGAGTGTACAATGAAGCTGTAATTGTTTTACAGAGGTAGGATTGTTTGGGTTTTTGTCTGTCTCATAAACATGCAAGTTTTCAGGTACGTCTTGCTACTTCAATTCCCACTTAGGCACACAACATAATGTACAAGATATGTTACACACACCCCCGGGGTTTTCTTCTATTTTCTTTTGTTTTGTTCTGTTTATTTCCTCTTCCCTCCTGGGGAAGGGGAACAGAATTTTCCTCCCAAACCCATGCGTGTTTAAGAGGGATAAAATCCCGGGGCGGGGCTAGTAACCCCCTTCTCCTGTACATATTAAAAAATGAAAAGGAGAAATTTTTTTTTTTTTTTTGGGCCCCCCTGCCTTTGGGGTGGATACAGCCATGTTTTGAAAAAGAAAAAACCCAACACTGTACATTTCAAACCCTTCTCCTGAAAAAATCACAAAATTTTAAAAAGGAAAAACTTTTGTTTTTTCTTTTTGGGCCACCCTGCTTTGGTGGGATATGGCCAGTTTGTTAAAAGAAGAAGAAGAATGTACATTTCACCACAGTTTGGCAATTTTTTTACATTTTTTTAAAAACATATGTAGTCTTTGAAAAAAAAAAAGATTTTCAGGAAAAACAGGGCCCGGTGTGATAACAATGGGGCAATATACAAAAGAACCAACAAAAAAATAAGGCACAAGGGCATATAGTACTACCATATATATTTCAGTTACACCCCAAAAACCCCTTTAGCAGATAGTTTCATTGTGAAGGTCAAAATACAATACCCTTTTTTTATTTTTTCTGATGGGTTTTATTTGTACCATGAAAATTTCATTTGTTTAATAAGGGGTAAGAAAAAAATGCGGGCTTTCCCCAAAGAAGGGAGATCCTTCTTTCTTCAGTCCCCAAGGTTTTTTGAATATAAAATCTTTAATTGTTTCATGTTCTTGTTGGGAGACAAAAGGCAAGGACGTAAGCCCCCATACCTCCCGTGTTTGGTCCCGATCACCATCTGAAGCCTTTTTGGTCTTGGGTGGGGGCATTACAGCTATTTTTTCCATCAGGAAGCACAATACCTAATGAAAGATCATGGGATAAAAGGAACAATGTTTAAAGCATAATTTTTTTAATTTTAAAAGTATTTGCGCACCCTTAATTTAAGGAGATTTTTTAACCATTTTAGCGCAATTGTCATGTATGTGCCTACCCCGTTTTCCCGCCATAACTTACCACACAATGGGGAAAATCTTAGGAATTGAAGACATGAGGAGGGGTTAGAAAGTACACTTAAATACTGCTTTAACACAAGTCAACGAAACGCAAACAGTACATCATTACCTTCCAGCACGATATAATGAAGATTGTGCACAAACTAAAATGGTGGGGGGGGGGGGTTTTAAAAGGAAATTTAGTGTGCAAGGGGCTTCAATTTCCCTAAAACGTGCATGAAAGCATGATAGGATGAGTGGAGGCAAGGGACAGTGCCTGTGCTCTGAAAGGGGGGGTGGGTATGTTGCGTTTTTGAAAATGTATGTAGGTGGGCCTGTGGCAAGACAGGATGGAGTGAAATGTGATGAAAGTATTTCTTCTTTTTCAGTCACGTGCCTTAGTGGGAAATGGGCCCACTGTTAAAAATAAAACAAAAATTGAGTGTGAATGTAAAGCATGCAGAGGGGGAAATATAAGGCATA